TGAACCCAGAGAGTCGGGTGTTGAATGCTCGGCGACATCAGCGTTGCCCATTGCTTGCACATTACACATTGCACCGGAGTCCGGGGGAATCGGGTCAACCGATGGCGCGAGAAGGTCGGACCACCATCACGTCAATCCATTCCATTGTCCTTCGATTTGGCGCCGGAACACAAAAGACACAACCTCCAAACTTCTGCAGCAGGCGGCGCTGCGCTGGGTACCCGGGTACCTGGGTGGTGAGGAAGAAACCGGAGCAGCACCGGACAGCTGGAGAACTGGTTGAGTCGGTGCAGACTCTAATATTCCGAACTTTTTGGTGCGGAGTAACCCCGTAGGTGCCCTACGGTCCCCTACCACATGCATGCAGGGCACATGGCTCCGAGTCCGGAGAAGCGTGAAGCTAGTTGGCCGCACGCAGAACGACATGGCCTTGAAGCACCCAGGTACATCACCTAGTTAGTAGCTCGCGTGATTAAGCTAGGCCCCTTCCTGATGGGTAAGCCGCTAGTCGCTGGCGTTTTGCCATTCTCACTTAGGTTGCTGTCTGGTCCGTCCCGCGGGCCCCGTCCCATTCCGTGTCGAAACGTCGGACCAGGTGAGCCCAGCTGGACAAACGCGACGTCTGTCTGCCCACTTTTTGCCACGGACTTTATGCCGTGGAAAGCTCAACACGATGTCATCAAACTACCAGTTGACCAATTCCGATCATCTGCTGATAATCGGCACCTCCAAGTTGCATGTCATCCTAGTAAATGTGACGGTGCCTACGGGCGAAGTCGGAACACCAATGGGACAAGACCTCCGGGTCCCGTCATTGCATAACAGCCCGCCTGTTCAATGTTGCCCCTGTTCAACATGCTGATCGGAATCCGGGGAACCGGGGCTACTTGAAAGGCTGGCAGTCGGGGTATCCAGTGCGGCTTTTATCTTGTCATGGCGTGATGCATGGCGTCGTCGTGCATACGTTGTACTTGTTACATGCTGGGTACGTCATACTACCTGACCTACCTAGGTACCTAGTAGGTAGCTGCTCCCAAAATTCGTTAAGCATACTCCGTAAGTTATTTCTTGCCTTGATCCGTGTCGGAATATCTCTCCTGCCGTTGCAGTACTGCTTTGGTTTGGTCCCGAAGCTGAAACGCCTATTTACTGCCCTGTTCTTACGTGCATATTTCGCATATTTCACTGGCGCGGGCTCATGACCTTGGACGGTGAAGGCATTCTTTAGTTCACATGTATTCAAAATTGTTCAGGACAACCTGGCCAAATACGGGAGCTTGTATTAATTGTTCAAGCTCAAGTAATGTGTGGATTCCGCGTTCGTCATATACTAATACTTCTACTGTAGAACGAATTGTTATTATCAGGAAGCACCCTGCTGACGTTTCTCAACAGTCTTCCAACTCCCAGTATGTTCGGGCTAAGCAATCGGTTCAGCCGCAACTGTCTGAAATTTATACCCTCAAGTAGTACAGTCCCGGCATTGATTTTTCTCGTTGACAGGGTGCTTGTTTTCTCCTGGATGCATCATCAATCCATGTAAAAAGCTGTGGGCCAAGGCGCGGCCACCATTGCATTGCTCCCGTCCGATGTTAATAATGCCGTTTAGCACCACTCTTGAACTCTGATTCGCACAAGAGGGCTTGTCAAAAATCTCAGTGCCCTTTCTGTATAGTCTTCTTAATGATCTCCACACACTCTCTTGGATCTTCGAACACGTGCCAGGCGTCACGAGGAATGTCCTTGAAGGCTTTCTTAAACCTCTCTGGCTCGTTTTTCTCATCAATCCCAACAGCGGCAACATCGGTGGCCTTTCGTATTAAAATGAGTCTAATCCATCCTGGCATAATGCGGTACCTAACCATACAATATCAGCTTCCTCTCACGATCTACAGAAGAAATCAGGGTAGAGACTCAACTTACATTTCCCCGTACGCCTCTGGGTCCGATTGCGTCGAATCTCCAATCACAATCATATTCCTCTTTGGTAGCCACCTGTTAATTTTTTTCATCCTATCCACCTTATATTCCTCCGTTCTCAATGTCAACGCAGAAAGCAAGCCGGCCACTGTTTTCCAGCTTGAATCACGAAGAATCAGAGTACCTGGTGGATAATATTGCTTGCGGAACTCTTTCAAAAAAGGATATAGATTATATGGAGAGGCTGAAAGGTAGAACCAAGCAGCGTCTTTTGGCAAAAAGGACTTGATCTCCGAATAGAGCTCGGGCATGCCGGGGATAGGAGCTGGCGCGTTGATGAATGTTTCACGAAGTATACCGACCGGGTCACTCGTCATCGTCACCTTGATTGTGTCGTCTATATCTGCAAGCTGTCAGTGTTTAGCACCGATGTGAGGAAGTAAGAGACAGAGCTGGGTGGCACAAAACGATTTCGCATACCAGAAATGATACCCCAACCCTCTTCTCCGGCATAGTATGTCTGCATCTTGATGATGCTGCCACGGCCACCGCCAATCTTTGTGGACGCCTTCACAAGCGAACCACTGTTGCTACTTGAGATTTTCAGCATATTCGAGGTAAGCCCGTTCATGTTTGTTGGCCCTAACTTCAACTCCTTGCTATTTTGGCTAGCCGTGACAATTGTGGCGGGACGAATGTCCCAGAGAAACGGAAGGACTCTCTCTTCAACAGTGTCCCGTTCAACAGCATCGTCTGCTAATCCCACTGCGCGCATAACTCTCGTCACCATATCCATGAGCGTTTCCTTGTCCTCACGCTCAAAAACGGCGGCAACGAACTCGGCCTGCCAGGTCCCTGTTCTCACAGATTTGTAGGCGGTATTATCGAGCAGCCAGACAATGTCGTTATCAGTAGCAGGTTTCGCAAATGGCTGGAGTATATTGAATCGATTGAGCCAGCTGGTGAGGCGCGACTGTCCTTGTGCCAGTGGTATCGTGGAGCTTTTGGCAAGACTGAGTCTAGACTCGATCTCGTCGAACTTGTTCTCTTTTCGTGTTTTGAGCTGCATCGCAATGGCGAGGGTTGACGGTGTGTAATTCTTGTACGCCATCTTGAGAGACATCTTTTGCTGAAGAAGAAGAAGATGATAAAGAACCTCTATTAATAACTACCTAGGGAGGCATACCTGGATGTAGGAGTCAGATGTTCTCGCGGTTGACGTGACGCTCAGACGTGCCTGCCGTGCTTACAGTTTTGCAGGTGCTGCCTATGCAACTCTGTGTCATCTGGAAACAGCTTGAGTCTCGTGCACTTGAACATCGGTCACCCGTTTTATAATTAGAGAAGGAGTCTACCTCAGCTGCGAGAGTTCAGCATGGAAAGGCTGGTGGTGGCGATCACGCCCCGTGACCACTTAGTCCGAGCGTGACCAGGCTATATTACATATGACGATGACAGGGTTGACAAACCCATTGGGTTGGCTCTTCTTGCCATAGCCTCGAGCACCTACCATATCCTTGCCGCTAGATACGTTTCCCAAAGAAAATACTATGAGCACCGACTCTGCAACGAACATGTCGGGAAGGGGAGGAGAGTAATGGGCCTTTTTATGATGGTTGCCGAGTGTAGCATATGAGCGACTGGAGGCAGCCCACAAGACCAGTAGTACTGAGTGATCCTGGTTGCTCGAACCTTACTTATCACTACACGATAAGGAATCGATCTAGAAGCCGAGGTTGTTCAGCAGCGAGCATTTAAGAGTTTTCGGCAAGCTGATGCGGTTGCGGCGTCGAGCCGTCAAAACAGCGCAAAGAACCATGAGTTCAAAGGTCCAGGAAGCCGGTGCGATACAGTAAAATCCCTGGCGGAACTCCAGCGCAGGTAGACTTGCTACTAGTACTTTGAGTAGGTCACGTATGCATATTCAAATACTTGGGAGACGCATTGACGTGTTGCGAAGTTCGCGACTCCATGGCCATGTGAAACTCTGCATATTAGGGCGGCGCGGTAGCGATTGGCCACCATCTAGGTACCTAAGTAGGTAGTAGCTAAGCAGGTTAAAATAGTCAATTGTAGATCAACCACCTTTTGCCATGCTATCCAAGGAACATGGTGGCGTTAGTGTCATCCTCCTGCATTGTACGGTACACCAGGCCCATGTGCAAGCTACCCAGGTTGTCGACCCGCGACCTGAGCAGATATTTGTCGGGTGCCCACGATTGCTGCAAGGCCTAGGTATGACTACCCTACCTGCTAGGTAGCTACTCGGCAACTGATCCTGGCTCGCTTAACATGTAACAAAGTGTTGGCCAATCCGGCCGCCAAGTTCCTTCTGATTGTACTGTCATGTAGCAGGAAGCAAGGGATGGATTGCAGGTTTGAAATCCTCGGTGGTTATAGTTTGCGCTGGAATCATATAGGAAATGAAACTCGTCGGGTTGAGCGCTTCAGTTATTGTGCGTTATGACAAATTATGCAAGAGTGCGGGTAGTGCGTGCCAGATCTTGGTCAAGGCATGTCGGACGAGGCATGGATAACCCTGAGCTGGATGGCAACAAGGTGCTCCATATTACTTGAGTACACAAGTACGGAGTACTCGGTCAGATCTGCCCGTCGTTGTGCGCAATCCAAAGGTCCATATCTAACTACCTACTACTTATCTGGGCAGGTATGTAAGTAATACCAAACAAAACACATGCACGGAGTGCTGAGCATTCCATCGGGACGTCACCACCACATAGCTTGGTCGATTCCACCGAGTAGCCTTGGCAACGTTAAGGCTGACTCTGCTCCGCGAAGCTGTCATCCCCACGCCTTCCTCAGAACGCGACCGACATCGTGACACCGTCGACGCACAAACACCCGTCACGTCGAGCCTCGAGGCATTACGGAGCAAGCTGCCTATGATTTGGGATTCGGCCCGTTGCAACTCGCCGTAGATGATTTGCAGCCGAGCAAGGCTCCCTCGGATGCTGCGCTGTTGTCGTACCGGAGACACATGCACACCGGCGTTGGCATCTCTTGAATGCCCGATTTGCGCCGTCGATACGGCGCCACCCTGATCAACCGGAGCCGCCATCATGCTCTCCCATCTGCGCTTTCATCGGAGAGGAACCTCGAACCCGACCTCACCTATCCCTGACCAACAACAATCGCTTTCCCCCCTCAGCAATAACGAGTCACCAGTGGCGCTCGCTTCTGCCTCTCCCTTGGATGGAATGCCCGCTTCAGCAAGCTCTTCCTCTGCACCAACGCTACCGCCCATCACTAGAGTTACCTCTGACGACTCCGGCTCTCGACACGAACGGGATGAACGACGAAATGGCGCCGGGTTGATGCCAGAAAGCCGCCCACATCAGTCGCAGCGCTCGTCCTATAATGGAGATGTAGGCTTTATTGGCGGAATGGCCCTGCAAAATTATCGCAGAGATGTTGAAGCGCAACAAAAGGCCTCAAGAACTGAGACTGGCGATAGAACAGGTAGTGGCAATGCCCTTGTTCATCCGGAGGATACTTCGGGCCGTCTCCGTCCTAGTTATTTGGAGCCAACTCTGGATATCTCTAGAAATAGCCAGTACAAGCAGGTCGCATCGTTCAGTACACCAACCGATTTACAAGCAACTAATGCATCCAACCTCGGGCGACGCCCTGCCGGGACCAGAGTCCCTCAAGAAGCGCCGTTTACACTGTCTAATACGTCAAGTTCTCTGGCAGTCGAACCTCAGAAAGGAAAGAAAGGCCTTCCATTCTTGAAGAACCCCATGTCGACGCTTTTGATGAGACGGAGAAATAACCAGAATGCGCCGGACTTGCGCCCCCTGCCACTGAATAATAAGGATGAGGAACCGACCTATGATCCTCGCATTAGAGGAACACGAGTACACGATTTTAGTGCACCTAGAAAACCAAGGGATGTATATGGTGGAAATCCAGCATCATCCCGTTCTGTTTCTGACATACACCTCACGTCTTCTGAAGAAATCCAGCCTACCGCACCAAATTTGTCTGGAGAGCCTTCAGTACATGCCCGTAGAAGCGCACCGCAATCGGTCAAAACAACGTCAGGAAGCCAGTCTTCTATTCATGCCGAAGATTTGTCAAGAGCACAACCGGAATCCAAGATAAGCTTTGCCGACAAGCCGACAACCGCTGCTACTGGTAACGCACCATCTATTGAAACTTCGCAACAGTCACACACGGAAGAGAACCCCATTTTGCCTCGATCTACCTCCAAGGCCAATGTGCTTGAGAAAACAGAGACGGGCCCAAAGGCGTCCCCATCTATACGTACAACGCGTTCGCGAAACATCTCTTTCTCTGAGATGTCAATGTCTGCGATCCCCAGACATATGAAGAGCACATCGTCTAGGTTCAGTTTCGATATGGTCGGGGCAGCAAAGCAAGAGAAATTACTGGAAGAACGGCATCGGCAACGAGAGCTTGAGCGTAAAACGAACGATAATGACGACTTCCGAGATTCAAGGTTCGACGATTTTGATGAGGATGCATTTGATTATGACGCAATGATGGACGATGATGGTTTTGAGGAGAGAATACCCGGCGTAAATGCGGACTTTGACGACGAACAAGCCCCCGATTCGTACGATTTGGATGTCGAGTTAGACCCTGACAACGACGAGGAGAATTTTGCGGGCTTTGATTTCCAACGCTCAAATACTGCATCCGCACTTGCGAGCCCATATAGTACTGGCATGCTGATAACACCTCGGGATGCTGATGGCAATGTTATTGGGTTTGCCATGACCAAAGACACCCCTGGCACCTCCACATTTCCTTTGTCGTCCCCATTGCCCGCCCCGAGTGAAGATGATGCCTCTGAGCACAGAGCATCCGGTTTGGGCATTCTAGATGCCTCTGCACCTTTAGCAAGTAACAACTACCAGAATGTTAAGGAAGACGATTTATATTTTGATGACGGCTTGATTGGATTTGAGAACGAGTTTGCCGAGGATCTTGCAGCGTGGCCGGATGCAGCCCATCAACCCTTTGACGAGTCCATCTTCGACAATAATGATACGGACCAGTTTGGCAGGCCTGTCCCTGGTGCTTTTCAACAGGCCCAATCACTGCGTCGCGCTGATCAACAGAGTTCTACGAAGCGAGAGTCGGACATAACCTCCCGTCTTTCAGCCCATTCTGTTGTCTCCCGCTCGACTGCGCACACGTCAGTCAGTGCTGACGGGCAGGAAGAGGAAGAGACAGGTGGATGCGATGGAAAGAAATCAGAATTGGGGAGTGAAAACAAAAATGCGCAACTTGCAAGTGACGGTGCCAAGTCTGTGGCTGCCTATCAGGCGGCTTTAGCTGCTGCTGCCCACAGAGCAGCTGCTTCTGGCAAGTTCCAGAGAAGCTCATCGCCCTCTTCCAACCCAGCTTTAGGCGATGATGATTCCACTTCGGAGATTCCTGAAAATAATATTCACGGTGGTTATGACGATGAAGATAATGACTTCGAATTCGATGACGACGCAATTATTGCCGAGGCGAATGCCAGTGCTTTGGCAAACGACTCCGACGGTTGGTACGGCCAAGAATTTGGGTTCTACTCCGCACCCCCTGGCCTCCATCCTGCGGCTCACAACGGCGGATCCTCTAGCCTCAAGGAGTATGAATATGCAAACGGAGGCTTCTTTGGCCCAGAAGGCATAGACGCACTAAATCGAAGCACCAGTGGAAGGATGATATCCCGAGAACCAAATCTTACGCCCATTACAGAGAGATCCGAGTACTCGAACCGGAATTCATTCATGAGCTTGGGTTATGCTCCACTCAGTACATCAACTCCAATTGTTCAAAGTCCTGGACTAGCACAACTGGCCATGATGGCAGACTGCGGAGACGATCAAATGACACTCTCGGCACTTCTTCGTTTACGATCCAGGGCATGGGGTGGCTCTCAAGCCAGTCTTGCCTCCAGCAGAGAGGGTTCTCCGAGGTCGGACCGAGGAGATGTTTCCAGTTCACCGTGGATGTCAAATTCATTTGGCCAAGCCAGCCAGGCAAACCAGGGTCATGGCAGGATGTCTTCTGCATTTTCAACTGTGGGCTACGATTCAGATGCAGCAAGTGCCTCAGGAAGTCCTACAATGACTATGGCTAACATGAACCTGGATCACTGGTCACGAGCTGCAATACCCGAAGAAGATACCACAGATGTTAGCGTTGGTGGCCATTCGACTGTTGCAACAGTTCGCGGCAGCTCTCTCGCCTCGGATCCTGATGTCCCAGGTTCACATGGTATGAATGAAGGCCCGATATGTCGGAGAAGTTCCACCGATGTCCACAACCAAGCGGATGAATACACACTGAGCGAGCCTACTAGGTCCCCAGTGAAAGGCCACCGCCATAAAGGATCAGCAGACAGCGTATCCTATATGAGAGAAGAGGACAGAGGCGAAACATGCTGGGTAATAGAACGTCGCCGTACGGGGGAGACTGGTGAAGTGGAAGTGCTGGGACGAGAAGTAATTGAGGGAAGACAGATTTGATGTCAATTGATGGTGTGATCTTGTTGATCGAGGCAGACGCAAATTTGTTGACCGGTTTTGGTATACATGGTGCTTTTTTGTTTTGGGTTAAGCAAGAACACATTACACGTTTTTAATTTTGGATACCGGGACAGACGACCACGGCTCGAGCTTGGTAATATGGTTGTCATTTCCTTCTCATTGACAGGGCTCATCATTGGGAAACTCTGACTTTGGGAGCATGGCGTTTGGTTAGAACATCAAGGACCGTCTGAGTTGAACTCAAAATTGCATTGGAGAACAGGATAGATGTTAAAAACGGGTGGCACATGGTCAGGTCAAATGGTATGGAGTCATCTTCCACCAGAACAAAGGTTTGCATCTTCTTGGCGAGATAGACTATGTCAGCCATTTGAATAGACATTTCGGTCATTTGACAAGATGGAGAAGCTCAGCAGTCTTGTTCTTGAGTCGTCTCATAACGTTTCCCGCTATCTTCCAGCGTCTGCTGGCGAAATCAGTAAACTGGCGCAACCTAGCAAACGCCGTGCTACCATGTCTTGTTTAGTCACAGCTGCCTCGGGACCAAGAGAAATCGAGGAGGGTTCACATCACAGGTGATGGGTATGAGTGCTCCGCTCCGACTCCTTGACTTGGCCGGCTCAAGTATGGTGTCCACTTCTGGCCGGAAAAGACAGCGCAGAGAATGTGAAACGCTTGGGCGCCGTTCTCGGTCCAACGTTTGCCATTCAGGACGGATTAAAGATAAAGACGGATGATTCTTGCCATGGCCCTCAAGCACTTGTCACCAAGTAGTTGGTTTAAATACACGCATGGCACTAGGCGACCAGTCGCGCAGACACAATGGGCGAAGTGCGTCAAGTCTCTCGATCGATTTGTGTGGTACGGAACACAACATTGAACACCGGAGCAGCTCTCGCACACCAGGCAACGTGCACCAGACGCCATTCAACGTTCGCTCTAGGCAGCCTATCAGCGCCGTGCTCTCAATGCACGCGCCGACCATGGAGCCTGCTAGGTACCCCGCTAGGCACTTTAGCTAACCAAGTCTAGTCCATCAATTTGATATCTCCACCGTCGTCTCACCACGTTGACGCTTACAACCAGACCAATTGACAACACCCGCCAGTTAACACAGAGTGCTCACATCTTGACCCCACAGGGCTTTTTGGCAAGCCAATGCCAGCAAGCTTCCAGCAATTCAGACTCGGCATTGTTAACAGGAACCATCAGCCCTCAATTGACAGTCACCATCAATCACCACAAGGTGCATCCCGTGTCTCTTGGCCCGCCAATGACACCGCGGTAATTTGAACCGTAGCCCCGTCTGGGGCCCGGCGTACTAATTGTTGACATCTCCAAAGGACACTCCAAGGACACCGGCTATGACGAGGGACTTGGAGACATGGCACTAACCTACAAAGCATGGGTCATGGAGGATGCAGCAAGGCATCGCGTGCCCACACTCAAGTGCGTGGAGGATGAAGAGCAAACTCGACCCCAGACCTTGACCAAGTTGAACCATCTGGATCACTTCTTGGAAAGCTTTAAATAGCGCCGCTTGGCCCGAGACTCCTACTTCATTCGAGCTTGGTCTTTTTCTGGCGCTCTTGTCTGTCCCTGTCCACCACCCTTTCTGAGCCCTTTGCTCCCCCAACTTGTCGATTCTCGTATGCTTGACTGGTATTTTCTGTCATGCTGTTGAAGTCTCGTGTAAATTGCCTCTAGCCGTACCTCTGTCAACAAACCATCCAAAGCCATTGGCATTGGGTATTGGGGGTCAAGTTGTGCCACAGCCAAGCCCGTCGTCACCGCATTCCTGGCGCCTCATAACCAAGCGAGGGAGGATTGCAATTGTTAGGCTGGGCCATTGACATTTATCGCGACTGCCAATGCGCCTGAGCTCCCTCTAAACCCTCGGAATCTCTTTGGGCCCCCTGATAGAATGGATCATCAAAGTCTGGACAAGTCGGCCATTGACCCTGCAAAGCTGGAGGAGAAGGTCGGTCAACGTCAAAAGGACGATTTGCTGGGTCATGGCGTTGTCCGTACTGCCGATGGGTCCTCACTGCACGACGGTGAGGATATCCTTGCGCTTCAAGACCTCGATCCGGCCCTGAACATGAAAATGCACTTGGTCAACAATGTAAGTGCTCACAGGTGATGCGCAGTTGCTTGTTAGGGCCACAATTCATGAAGACCTTCACGTCATGCGGTCGGCCGTGAGATTTTTTTCAGTTTGTAGTGCTGACAGTCACAATTCGAGGCAATCGACGAGATTGGCTGGACTCCCTATCACCTAAAGCTCTTCTTCCTCAATGGTTTCGGGTAAGTCGAGTCTTGCATGGCGTTTGCATGTCCCCAGAGTATTCATTTGGAATCCCTCTTGGTCCGGTCCGACGCTGATAAAAACAAAGATATGCAGTGGATTCCATGATTCTCCTTTTCCAGTCGATCATCGCAGGGCCGGCTTATCGCGAGTTCCGTAACGGCTACGCAAACGCTCTCACGATTGCCGTGTACTGTGGTATGCTGTCAGGCGCCCTCTTCTGGGGATTCAGTGCCGATATAATTGGCCGCAAGTACGCCTTCAACATCTCTCTCTTCATGTGCTCCGTATGCTGCATCGTTGCCGGTGCCATGCCAAGTTGGCCCAGTCTCGCGCTCTTCATCGCCCTTTTGGGTTTCGGCGGGGGAGGCAATTTGATCATGGACACCACCGTTTTCCTCGAATTTCTCCCCAGTAACAAGCAGTGGCTTCTAACATTTCTTGCATGTTGGTGGGGCTTTGGTCAGGCTATTACAGGATTTATCGGCTGGGGATTCCTGGCCCCTGAGAAATGGAATTGCAGTGTAGATGCTGTTTCCTGCTCCAAGGCTGACAACTGGGGTTGGCGGTATTGCCTCTTCACCGGGGGGGCACTGGTTCTGGCCATGTCTCTTCTTCGAATTACAGTTGTTCGACTACGAGAGACGCCAAAGTATCTTCTGGGCATGGGTGAGGACGAAAAAGTGGTTGAGACCTTCCATTACCTGGCCACCAAGTACAATCGCCCCTGTTCTTTGACACTGGAGAAGTTGCAGGCATGCGGAACTATCCAAGCAGCGCAACACTCAAAGGGTTTCTCCTTGCAAAAGTCTCTCGTGCATTTCGGTGGTCTTTTTTCGACCAAAAAGATTGCCATCTCTACGCTTATGATTTGGCTTTCTTGGACTCTCATCGGTCTGGCTTACCCATTGTTCTATGTATTCTTACCGTAAGTTCATGGTTTGACACTTTGAAAACCCTTATCATCCAGCTTATTTTTCAGCATACAGTTGTGCTAATTTCTCCCCCTGATCCGCCCCATCCTTCCCCCTTTTCTTTTTTTTTTCCCTCCCTCCTTGGGGTCCCCTTTCTTTCATCATTCCACGTAAAGTACTAATAAGAACACAGGACATACCTGGAAAAACACGGTTTGAAGTTCCACCGAACCCAGTTCGAAACATGGCGTAATTATGCCATAACCAACATCTGCGGTATTCCCGGTCCTATTATTGCTGGGTTTATGTGCAACACGAGAATCCTCGGGAGAAGATACACCATGAGCATCGGTGCGCTAATAACGATGGCATTCTTCTTCGCGTATACGGCTGTAAACACCGCGGCGCAGGACTTGGCCTTTACCTGTTTGATAGCTTGTTTCCTCAACATTTACTATGGCACCCTTTATGCATACACACCAGAGGTTCTTCCTAGCGCCCATAGAGGAACTGGAAATGGAGTTGCCGTGGCTTGCAATCGCATCATGGGAATTGTCTCTGCGGTGGTTGCATCAGAGGCCAATACAGCTACATCAGCGCCGCTATACGTTTGCGCCTCCATCTTCATCGTGGCAGCCATAGTTTCTGCGCTGTTCCCGTTTGAGCCGTACGGTCGGCGAAGTTCATAAATACTGCGAACCGAGTTGTAGGAGAGGGCTCTAACTGAAGCTGTCTAGAGTGTTCGTCTGTAGGCAAGTACGATGATCCTCTCCAAGTCAACCAGGGAACGCTATGAATAAATGGGGAAACGATAAAAGTTGTAGAAAATGGACTTGATACCCAGCACCTCCACAGGACATGTGCAGAGTGCTTGACATCTATGCAACCATAAACGCAGTTAAGTTCCTACCTACCTTGGTAGTTATGCTTCTCAAGAAGGCCGCCCTGAATGGGCGTTGTTTTTACCTTCAATGTGCCCTGATGACTAAGTCTACGCAGGACTGTTCTCAAAGCAGACTCGGCGGCCGGCCCCACCTGACGCTGGGAGACTTATCGGGAAGCCAGAATCCAGACCATCATCACTTTCATCCAAGATTTACCTGGACTTACGTGCACCCATACGCTATTATTTCTTCGTTTCTATTATTTTCATCCTTCGCTTCCCCTATTCTCAGTATATCTTTTTGCCTATTAATGAGCATGCCCTCTTCTCATCACATCACGAGACTCGGCTTCTGTGCCAAGTGTTGTGCCCCCAAGGCTTTTCACCCTCGACCTTTACAGGCTCCTGCTGCTGTCAGGCATTTTCGAAGCCCTCCGGGGGGTGATAGGCGGCGAGACAGCGGAAAAGACTTAGCCAACGAGAACGCTTCGCCTGAGCAAGAGGAACCAGGTCCATTGGCACGCCGGCTAGAGGAGGCTACGGAAGAAGCTCTGCTAACAGGTGGTTCATCCGGACGGCGTGCCATCGAAGATGCCGGTTTTTCAGATGAGCTAAAGGAGAAGCTTCTCCATAAAATTGCAGATGCTAAGTTCGAAGAGCAACGCTCGGGCGCGCTTGCCCAAGCAGGCATACCATCATCTGCGTCGAAAAGCACACAGCACAGTCACAGCTCGCGTCCTTGGACAGGCACTGAGACTACCGAAGACGCGGTATTACGGATGCTACATGACGCTAAGCCACCCTTAAAGTCAAAAAATGGGGCAAAATTTCAACCGCCGGTCGTGGATACACGAATTCGGCGCAGCGTGCCGCAAACTCACGGTCAAAGGGCAGCTAGTGCTCGCGACAAGGCTAGCATGTATGTAGGAATGGACATGAAAACTTCGAAAGGACTGAGCGACGAGGAGCGAGAGGAGATGAAGGCGGAGCTACGAGAGCGGTTCCAGCCCGCCGCCAGGAGTGTCCCTGTCTCAATTTCCGGTCTGACCGCGCTAGCTAATCAACGCATAGAAGATGCCATCTCAAGGGGTCAGTTCAAAAACTTACCACGGGGTAAAGAGATGGAACGGGATCCAAGGAGCGACAACCCTTTTATTGACACAACAGAGTATATCATGAACAAGATGATTCAACGACAAGAGATTGTTCCTCCCTGGATTGAAAAGCAACAGGAACTGCGCAAAGCTGCAAGAATATTTCGAGAGCGGTTGCGGAATGATTGGAAAAGGCATGCTTCTAGGATGATAGCTTCACAAGGGGGAACACTTGAGGAGCAAATGAAACGAGCAGCAGCATTCGCCGACGCAGAGCTGGCGCACAATCCGAGATGCAAAAACGTGGACCAAGTTGCCGTGTCTTCCAATGCCACGCATCATGACGTTATGAGAAACACATCAAAGACAGTTCAGGTCAATGGAAATTCCACCCCAACAACAGCCTCGGGTGGCGTCGGCGCCGTCAACGTGGTCCAAAGGCCATTTCGTGATCCAGCCTGGGAGGAAGCGGAACAGGCCTACATGAATTTGTCAATTCAGAATCTGAACAACATTACCAGGAGCTACAATCTGATGGCGCCCGAGCTGGCCAAGAAGCCATACTTTTCATTGGAGAGGGAGTTGAACTCATGCTATGCAGACGTCGCGCCGCTCGTCGCCGATGAAATCAAGGTTCGGGCGGTAGGACGCAAGGCAACAGGCAACGCAACCCATGTCGGGAACAGTTCCAACTCAAGTTTCATAGATATGTTTATTGGAAGACACAGCGTTAGTATTCATCCCGAGGCAAATGAGAAGGCGTATGGCCTAAAAGAGTGGTGGAGGGACTTTTGGCGAAAGAGATAGCTCGTACAAGTCATGTGTCTCATGTGTAGGTGTATATAATAGTATGGAAGCAAATGGTATCATATTGACACTGTTGAGTTCTCGGGGCCACATGAATCGACCCATCCGATTGACTCGACATGGGATAGACAGTGCCAGTAATCAGTTATAAATCTAAAAGCATTGCTGAGATATTGAAACGAAACCCCTAGTCAGTCATGGCGTACACAGTCGAGTAACGCTTACGTTTTTTTTTATAACATTATATGTATTGGCGAATATTCAAGACTGGGAAAAACAAGCAGAAAGCCGCATTGGTCTTTTACACAAGTTGTATCTCGACTGGGAAATGCACGGCGGATAGTGAGTCAGAAGCCTGCCCCGGCCTGAGCTGCAAGGCTAGCTTCGCCGCCGCAAGACCGAGATAGGCAGCGCCACTGGGGGGTCATTTGGGCTCTCAGAAGCGTGGTGGCGGACGCCATCTAGACGCGGGTGGAAGCCCATCCGAAACCATTATTTGACTGAGGAGGGATGTCGGTATGGCCAGGGGAGGTATTGCTTAAGTAAACGGCAGGTGAGCGCCACGGCAAGCCATCATCTTGCTTGCACACCTAAGAATGCTTGTACGGATAACGGGTGTGGCAGATTTCGGGTAATAAAATAGGCCGGTAGTTGAAGTGGTGGCTGGATGACGGACGGATGGGTGCCAGTCCGTACAGCTTGATGCATCGGCTGCCGAAAACAACGGAATATTCATCTTGAACAGGAAGTTGTGCTTTGGTTGTGAGAATTGGTTTCGCTCTGGTCGGGTCGGAGGAGAGTCCCATACTTATAATAAATAGCTAATACTATTGACTACCGCCCGCAAGTACAGAGCAGTGCTTCCTCCCCGCATATCAGGGATGGAGGCACTGCATGGGTGGCTGGCTGGCGAACGAGAGGTGGCCCAATGATCATCGATTACCGCGGGGACCTTGTCCCATTGTTCCTCGGGCCGTTTGGAAAGTCCACTGGGGAACTCATCGAGGTTGCCGCGAATTAATACGACGTTGGCATTGAAAATGCGACAGACAAACGTGGCACCGTCGTTAACAAGGGACATCTGGACTCTCTTCCCCACATCTGGGGTCGTGGGGAAGACAGGGGAAGACGACCGAGCAGCAGACGAATCTGCCACGATGCATGCAATTGACGCCGGATGATTCTACGGGGCGAGCGCATAAGAGCTTTCTGTAGAGTCAGAGCAGTTGACTAGAGGCACGGGTGGATGCCAAGCACCAGATGGGACTTTCGCATTCCCGTGCTGTTTGAATCAATGGATTAACTACATTATTGCAGCACGGATTTTTGGAGAGCCAGTCAACCAACCTAGACCAGCCGACGGTTCAAGGCCCCCTTGTCCTGTCTGGTCCAGCACCCCAGATCGTTTGGCGGCTGACAGCCGGGGTGCGTCAACTGGTCTTTATTTTAGTCTGTTTCCCCACCTGTCGGCCCAAAATCTTCTTCATCAGTGGCGGCCAAATTTTCTGCAGCACAACATCTTCGTGTATGTGCCCAGCAACCTTGGGTCCTTGCACCGTCTTCTCGGCCGCCGCTTCATGTCTCTGCCTCACAGGGTAACTCAGATGCATGAAGGCGGCTGTTGAAATCCATGGCCCAGACGCCCAGACCACCCGACTATCCTCATCCCGCTTCCCTCCCCTGCTTCACTCCTCACATCATCAGTGGCCGACCTTCGTGTGCAACTCACCGTCTGGTAGCATTATATAAAGACGCCGCTGCCCGTCACCTGTTGACGCCTGCCGGATTTGGATACTAACACTTGGCTATCGCCTCTGATATGTCGGTCCGGGCGCCTTAAATCTACATCTTCTTTGACATCTCCCTCTCACCCATCTCCTATATTTTGTGGGCTTAGGTCTGTCCCCTTCCCAAGCATCACCGTGTAGTCGCGCGAGAAGCTTGCTTGCATATCTCATACCCTGTTCAACAATCGACACCATGGCCGTCGACACATGGGACAACGGCCGCCCGGAAAGCGCCGGCGTACAGCCAGCAGACGTTGCTCCCGTTGCTGAGGACTATGGCCATGACGTTTCAGATCCATCCAAGACACATCGCACCATTATCGAAAACGCAAGGGCAGCAGCAGCCAAGGAACAAGGCATGACTCTTTGGCAAGGTATCAAGCTCTACCCCAAGGCTGTAGGCTGGAGTTTGTTAATATCTACCTGCATCGCCATGGAGGGTTATGATATTAGTTTAGTAAACAATTTCTGTGAGTCCATAGTCCTGTTATGGCTAGCAGAGCGAAGCCCCCAATTGTGTAGTGTGTCTGTGCCAATTAATGGCCCTCCTGGCGACTCTAACCTTGTCCACACATTTAGACGCATTTCCCCAGTTTACCAAGAAGTATGGCGAATATCAGCCAAAGTCTGGAACTTACGAAGTTACTGCTCCCTGGCAAGCAGGTCTGAGTAACGTACGAATGTCCCTTTTGCTGCTCCTTCTAGGCTGCAATGCTCCCCCAACTTCACAACAAGATACGTCTACAAGGAGACATCAACTAACGACAAGGGGAATTAGGGTGCAATGGTAGGCGAAATCATGGGTCTCTTCATCAATGGCTACGTTTCGGAAAGATTTGGTTACAGATGTACAGTCATGGCCTGTCTTGTCATGATAACGGCCTTTACAGCGATATTCTTCACTGCTCCAAATGTTGAAACTCTTTTGGTCGCTGAGATTCTATGCGGTATTCCATGGGGTATTTTCCAGACATTGGCCGTCACCTATGCCTCCGAGGTCTGCCCTGTTGCCCTACGTGGATATCTGACCACGTATGTCAACTTTTGCTGGGGCCTTGGCCAGGAAATCGGCATCGGTGTTATTCGCGCTATGCTGAGTCGTGATGACGAATGGGCATACCGCATCCCGTATGCTTTGCAATGGATGTGGCCGCTGCCCCTGTTTGTTGGCATATTCTTTGCTCCAGAATCGCCATGGTGGTTGGTACGGAGGGGCAGGACTGAAGAGGCTAAGAAAGCGCTCCTGCGCCTGACCAGCCTCGACCAAGAAACAGATTTCGATGCCGACGAGACGATTGCCATGATGGTGCATACGACTGCTCTAGAGGAGAAAATCACTGCTGGAGCTTCGTATTGGGACTGTTTCAAGGGCGTTGACCTGCGAAGAACCGAAATTGTGTGCATGACATGGGCCATTCAAAACTTGAGCGGAAATTCATTTTCCAACTATTCGACTTACTTTCTGAAGCAAGCCGGCCTGTCAGACAGCGATGCATATTCCTTTGCTCTTGGTCAGTACGCCATCAACATGGTTGGCGTGTTTGGGGCATGGGGTTTGATGACGCTGGGTATCGGACGAAGGTCGCTCTACCTATATGGACTCTGTGGCCTTTGCACGATGCTGTTCATCCTCGGATTTCTCGGCCTTGTGCCCCACGACCACCGTCGAGCAGGGTCTCTTGCCACTGGCAGCATCATGCTTGTTTGGGCGCTCTTCTACCAATTGACGGTGGGAACTGTGTGCTATTCTCTTGTAACTGAGTTGTCGTCACGTAGGCTCCAGATCAAGACAGTGGTGCTGGGGAGAAACCTCTAGTAAGTACCTACGTGCCTCATTCGAGCACACGGACTTCTTGTCTATTTCAACTTTGTGCTGGCCTTTGACACATTGTTCTCTTCAATCCGAATCTCTCAGGTTTTCGGCTAACTACGTCCTGCAGCAACATTGTTGGCATCATCAATAGCGTATTAACTCCGTACATGCTGAATCCGGGGGAATGGAACTGGAGCAACTACGCGGGCTTTTTTTGGGTAAGTGCAGTTGACACTATCGTTTCTAAACTATGTTCGCTCTTGAATCTTTTCCTGATAGCAGTTGCTTTTGTCAGGGGGGTATATGTTTCCTATGCATCGTCTATGCATATTTCCGCATCCCAGAGCCCCGAGGTCGCACATTTGCAGAACTAGACGTATTGTTCGAGCGACGTGTTCCTGCCCGGAATTTTGCCAGCACAGAAGTAGATGTATTCCACGAAACAGTGGAGGACAAGGTTTTGAACCAGTACGAAAATGACGTGCATCAAAGGCAGGAGAAGAGCGGGACGCTGGCATAGTAGTCCAGCTTGCACAGGGCAAAGGGGTGCCTGAAAATAACAAAAAACGAAAAGACATTCGAAGCTACCGAATGATCTGGCAACAATACATGGAATCCCATGTGACACATTTAAATTAATCATTACGAGTGCGCGTGATGATAGAGTCTCGACAGCTGACTCCCCATTATCAGATGAATAAGGGATCAGCCGATATGAGGCTTGGCGTTGACAGGAGCGTTTATGCAGTTGTCGTAGTCTTCGAAAGAGCTTCTTCTACTGACGGCCACGCGGCTCAGGCACAGCCCATATGCTGCTCCCCAGCTGCTATAATTTCGTCTTGGACTCATTTTGCATAGGCACCTTGAAATGTGATGGTAAGCGCGCTTGCGCCAGCCTTGGATTCACATACCAAGCTGCGCCCGGCTGTTTCTGTCCTCGTTCAAATAGCCTCCACGACAAGGGTGGCCCGAGTTTTCCCGCAGGGTAGGTACCTAGGTAGGTACCTAGGTAAGTAACCTGGGTCAGTCGAGAATATTGGGCCACTGGCATGCATACCACTCATCCTTCAATGGCAATTCAGCGCATGAGCCTAGTACTTACTATAGCCGCCAGCCGTCCAGATGTCGTCTTTTGTCCGAAAGATTTGTCAGGGGATCCTTTATTAAGCTAGTATAATACAATGGGCTGCTACATATGTACCGAGTATCAGTCTCTTGATGGTTGAAATACCAACTTGCTCCGTACGGCAACTCCCTGGTGAGAAGAATCGGAGGTCGGGCTCCTCGGGCCAGGGACTCGGTGTGCCCCGGCGCCATTTGACCGAGTACCTGCATCTTTTCCTGGTTCTGAGCACGGAGGAAAAACGACATTGGAGGAGTTATAAGCCAAAAAAAAAAATTATCGCCAGAATCATAAACTGTACATGTTGAAAAATCTAACAGGCAGGCAGCGTTGCCCAAAATTTGACCCATCACGGGGCAGGTTGACACGTATGATGTCAATTGATGGACAAGGAGGAGCGCATCAGTGCCTTGCTGCTCGACGTGCGTACGGTCGTGTGCCAAAGTATCAGTTGATCTTTCAGATCCAATACGTGCGCGCGAACATGTCTGGTGGAGAATTTGGAGGCACTAACTAGTGCCAGCTCCCAGTAATATCAGCGCTCCCCGGTATAACCTACCTAGTACGGAGTACATACCTAGGTACCTAGTAGACACGCTAGGGTACTAGCCGTTCCGTGCCCGTAAAATCAGCCGTTCGGTCCCAAGTCTTGACACATGGCAGCGCTTGACCAACATTCGATCTCAGGACTCCATGTCGCAACATCTAGCACGGGATACAGTTGGTACCATCTAAACTGTATCATCGCATCCGTGTGAAGTGTCTTGGCGTCTTGAAAACTCGAACCACAGATGCCACTTCTGTCTGCGGGCTTAGCTTAGAAAGCGTGCCAATGACGAGCATTTCGATCAGTGACCCTATACTCCGTAGTAAGGGTCCAGTCCGGGCCGGATGCATATTGGACTTGACGCGCTTTGAGGATTTTAGTCAGTATTCAGGAAGTACTCAGCCGCTATAAAGACTCACCCCGGGTACCTACTAGGTAGTACTACTAGGCCTGGCGCAGACCCACCTAACCCGAGTGGGTACTTGGGTACTTGGTCGGTACTTGAATCCCTCTACGGAGTACCTGCCTGCTCCGGCGCGCATGAATCAAAATCGTACCGCCCTCGGAGCTCCCACGCCAACTCGGCTTTCACACTTCATTTTCGAACTGAGTGAGCTTTCGACGCACGCCTCTCTCCTCCCTCCTTCGTCACCCATTGACATCTCTGCCCAACCCCTTTCTCTTCTTGTTACACCTGTCTGCCTCAAACTGCCTTCGTCACAATGATGCTCTCGACCCTTCGAGTTGTTTCCAGGCAAGCTGCCCGCCGGCCCGCCTGTGCCTTTACCAACTTTGCCGCCATCCGCGCCGCATCCACCTGGTCAGCTGTTCCTCAAGGTCCTCCTGTAAGTTTTCCGGATAGCTATGGCAGCGCAGTTCTTCCGTCCCAATTTCAAAGCTTTGTTGTTGTACTAATGCCACATCTCCATAGGATGTAAGTTGAGATCAATGCGCGCTGTAAGACTTGTAGTGTCGCTGACAAGCCGTTCCCTCGTTCGTTTTTGTAGGCTATTCTCGGTATGTCACTGTCCCACCATTTGGTTTTGGTCGTGTAGTGAATGATTGACAGTTGTTCTAATTGTCGGTTTTGTCTTACAACGCAGGAATTACCGAAGCTTTCAAGGCCGACAAGTCCAACAAGAAAATCAACTTGGGTATGTTCCGACCCAGCCCCGAGGACCACGTGACGATGGAATGGCTTCCATTCGACATTTCCTCTCCTTCTTCGCGCAAATGTAACGACTTACTCTTGCCGTTGTTTAGGTGTTGGCGCATATCGAGATGATCAGGGCAAACCCTACGTCTTGCCCTCTGTTCGCGAAGCAGAGCAGAAGGTCATCGACGACAAGTTGAACAAGGAATACGCTGGCATCACTGGCATTGCCGAATTCCCTGCCCTGGCTGCCAAGCTGGCCTATGGTGCCGACTCACCTGTTCTTGATCGCGTCGCTGTTACTCAGTCCATTTCCGGCACTGGTGCCTTGCGCATTGGCGCTGCTTTCCTCCAGCGATTCTTTCCTGGAGACAAGAAGATCTACATTCCCACCCCTTCGTGGGCCAACCACAAGGCCGTCTTCAGTGACTCTGGCCTCGAAGTTCAGCAGTACCGCTACTATAACAAGGATACGATCGGTCTCGATTTTGAAGGCATGGTTGGCGATATCAAGGCAGCTCTCAAAGGCAGTATCTTCCTCTTCCACGCTTGCGCCCACAACCCCACAGGTGTCGATCCTACTCCCGAACAATGGAAACAAATCTCCGACGTTGTGAAGGAGCAAGGTCATTTCGCCTTCTTTGATATGGCCTACCAGGGCTTCGCCAGCGGCGACACTGACAAGGATGCTTTCGCTGTCCGCCACTTCGTTGAACAGGGCCATCAGATTGCTTTGTGCCAATCCTTCGCCAAGAACATGGTGCGTGACTCTTCTTACGACGCTCGGTTCCCGGCCCTCTATAGGCCTCTGCATTACCATGGCTAGTGAGCTAATTCCATATTCTCTTGCGTACCGCAGGGTCTCTACGGCGAGCGTGTCGGAGCCTTCTCCCTCGTCTGCGCCGACGCCGCCGAGAAGAAGCGCGTCGACTCTCAGCTGAAAATTCTTATCCGTCCCTTGTACTCCAATCCTCCCATTCACGGTGCCCGTATCGCCACCGAGATCCTGAGCAGCCCCAAATTGTACAAGCAGTGGCTCGGCGAGGTCAAGGGCATGGCTGACCGCATTATCACCATGCGTGCTCTTCTCAAGGAGAACTTGGAGAAGTTGGGCTCCAAGCATGACTGGTCTCACATCACCAGCCAAATTGGCATGTTCGCATACACCGGCATGACCGCTGAGGAGATGGATAAGCTTGCCAAGGAGTTCTCTGTCTACGCCACCAAGGACGGTCGCATTTCCGTCGCCGGCATTACCTCTGAAAACGTCGGCCGACTCGCCGAAGCCATTTACAACGTCAAGGGCTAAACAAGCTGACCTACCCAAACCTTTGCCATGTATTCCCCCAGCCTTATATAAACTTGACCATTGGGCAGTAGCTTTCGCCGGATTGTATCTTGGGCGTTCAAAATGATGATGAGCGAGGATGAGTCCTTGTTGGCATGTAAGCCTACCCATTGGACTAGGGCAGGATCATTGTATCAGATGTTTTCTCTCCTTTGAAATCCGATACACCGTCTTGTATTAGTCGTGAACGTGGCTGTCAAATGTATTTGTAGTCTAGGTATAGATGAGACGGCAAGCTAGATGGAATGATGAATGATGTTCTCCTTGATAGCACTCGCTCTAAATAGGAAAAGAGTCTATATTCGGTCACATGCGACCCATTCCATTTTGCTTATTGTCGAGTCTGTCAAGGTCTTTCTGAACATCCTCCATTTGCCTCTCCATCTCATGGTATACCCGTGCCATCTCCTTCATCGTCTTTTCCTTGGAGCCATCTTTGTCCACGCCAACGCCGTACTCTCCCAGTTCTGCCTGCAAGCCTCGAACTCGCTCGGCCGCACGAACTTGGGCGTCCTTTAAGTGAGATAAATAGTGTCTCAGCGCTGTAACGGCTTCAGGTGAGTACATGTCTTTACCAAGATTGGTCGACGTTGCTTTGGCATCAAGCTCCGTGCTCCGTGCTTCCAGGGATACGTCGAGAGCCCGCAGCTCGAGACTTCTGGCGGCGACTCCGTGTTTCGACTCCAACGCCTGAGTGAGTAATGTGACAGACTGTGTGTACGAGCTGATGAGCTCTGTCAATGAGGCCAGTGCCTGTAGCCTATTGGATATGAGGCTCTGCTGCGCCTCAGAAAGTTTGCCACGGAGTGCCGCATGATCTGCTGGAAGAGAAGGAATATGGCGATGAAGGTATGACGGGTTCTTGGACGGATGTGTAATCCTTACCAGACTGAGTGCCGAGGCGTGAAGGTTGGCGGAAACAACAGCACCAAGTTCCAGTAACAGAGACTCGAATTCCGAGAATGGCGGACTAGAAAGGATCAAAGCCACATCGTGACTATCGACAGGCAGGTCGCTGTCGCAAAGAGATGGCAGAATGAGGAGAAGTTCAGCGAGCAAACCAGACGGTTCTGGTAGGGTCGGCTCGTCGAATCTGATGTCTGCAGGTTTGTCTGCTGATGTCTTGACATCTGGAGATGAGGCAGTTGCGATGGCTCTTTGCAGGAGGTATTGCTTAGCGCAACGACGGCGCATGTTATTCAACTCCTGTTATATACCGACAGCACATGGCCAATTAGTCCAGGTTCAACTCTGCTACTCCCCTCCCCACGGCTGACATGTGTGCGGCTCGGCAGCTGAAGCAGGTCGAGAATATTCTGAGAATGGGCCATGGAGGCGATGTCTGATAAACTTACCTGACTTACGACTTTGCGCTCTTTGAAATCAGAGTCAGATTTAGTAGACCCGTCGGGATTCAGAATATCATTTTTCAGAATCGAATAAAGCTTTGCAAATTCAGGGTTATCTCGCAAGACTTGTTCATCCACTGAGGGAATCATCATGAGACGTGGGTCGCGAACATCAGTCCAAACTGGCAGGTCGAACTGAGTGTGAATTATAAAACGACAGGATGCGGCAGTTTCTATCTTTTCTTTTATGTTGCCCTTTTGTTGGTTTGCTGATGATGGACTGATGGCAGGCGGTGGGCGGTGACGTGCTAATATAGCAGACTGCCAAAACAACAACTGATGTGGGGAAAAAAAAATTGGCTAATGGGATCTGATTTCCTACGACATTCGCTATATCAATGAGGACGTCCTTAAGAGTGGAACAGTTATAGGGGCCAATCTCGGGGTCTGACTGATCTTCCGCCAGTGATCATGAACAAGCCATGATGACAATGCTCCTCAGATTCACAAATGTCCCTCAGGCGGTGCTCAGCATTGGCTTCAAAAGCGGGGCACCTAGTACCAATTTACGCCAAATACCCACGCAGTCACCTGATACCCAGACCCGAGAAAGCTCGGAATAATCCTTGTCCCGCTCTGCTTTTTGCGCCATGTTCATGGCATTTTGCCTAGTCCAAGAAACTTCCAACACGAGTGTTCGTGGAGCTCCCGGCCACCGGTATTGGCAACCACCATTGGTCAAAATTAGCACTGAATTTTCCAGCCGCCTTAGCCTCAATGCCTCAGCTATAGATCATCGAGCCTCTAAATTGCGGTCTCTCTTTGCAGCTGCGACACTGCCGGACGCCTGGTCCTCATCTACGCCTCACCATGCCTACATCTACCCTCAACCCGGTTCGGCGACTCACGGCTCTCCTGTCTGCAAAATGTCAGTCAGCACTGTCCTCGTCTAGTTCCCGAACTTCTTCTCATTCCTATCGCATAACCAACTTCTCGATTCCCCGACGAATAACTAGCTACAACGGCCATGCATTTTCGCCCAAACAGTTCTCAACGACAGCGTCTCAACAGACAAAGACAATTAAACCTCATCGTCTACCCTCAGACTTGATCCCTCCTTATCCGTATGGGGAGCGCCGTGTGTATAAGCAATCTAACCGCGGCCTTTACGGCAGCGCTCGAATTCGCTTCGGCAACAACGTAGCGGAGAAGCACAACAACAAGTCGCGCCGATTTTGGCGACCAAACGTTCACGTCAAGACTTTCTTCTCCCCTTCCTTAGGCGCTCGTGTCAAGACTCGTCTGACACTGCGCGTACTGAAGACCATCCGCAGGGAAGGGGGAATCGAGAATTATCTTCTCAAAAGCAAGCCTGCTCGTATCAGGGAGCTTGGGCCAGGGGGGTGGAATCTACGCTGGATTCTAATGCAGACCCAGGCCGTTCAACAACGCTTTAACGAACAGAGAATTGAACTGGGACTGGAACCAAAAGAAATCGAGAACCGAGACGATATAATCCATTTTGCATTGGATTATGCCACTCCTGGTCCATTGAGCACGCGAAGCCGGGCTACTCTAAACGGGATGCAAGCCACCATAGCAGATAGCTTCGTTCTGGGAGATGACAGCTTGGCTAACCTCGAAGGCGTGGAAGAACTGTCTGATGAAGAGGAGCGAAAACTACTCCGCGAACTTGAAAATTTCGATGGAGCGCCTATTTTGACCAGGAGGCAAACGATTGGAGCATAAAGTCATGTAATTTTATCCTTTGTACTTTTATTCTATGTCAGCATGTACAAAAAAAAAGCCATTCCTACCAAGAAACATATTCCATAACCAAATACTCCTTAACAATATTACTACTTCATCCAGAAGTTTGACGTTGGGTATATTTTGTTTCTCAAAATCGCAAGTCCCAGCCAATCTGCGGTCCAAGTCTGGGAAGTTCCTCAGCTACGCTTTGCACATCCTTGTCGCCACGACCGCTCAGACAAATGATGAGGTCTTCACCCTTCTTCATAGTCTTGGCTAGCTCGATGGCACCGTAAATTCCATGAGCTGACTCAAGTGCCGGGATAATACCTTCCAGTTGGCTCATCAGCCGGAAGGCCTGGAAGGCTTGTGCATCTGTAGCAGCAATAAACTTGGCCCTCTCGTTATCTTTCCAAGAACTGAGTTCAGGGCCGACTCCCGGATAGTCAAGGCCAGCCGACACAGAATGGGTCTCAGAAATTTGGCCATTATTGTCCTGAAGGACATATGTACGCACTCCATGGAGGACGCCCTTGGACCCTCCGGTCAAGGTGGCGCTGTGTCTTTCTGTGTCCACGCCGTCACCACCAGCTTCAACTCCAAGCAGTTTGACTGTGGGATCGTTGGAAAAAGGATAAAACATGCCGACAGCGTTGCTGCCACCTCCCACACAGGCGACCACTGCGTCAGGTAGCTTTTGACGCTTCTCCATCATTTGCTTCTTGGTTTCGTTACCAATCACGGATTGAAAGGTTCTGACGATGGTCGGGAATGGATGGGGCCCAATTGCGGAACCTATGATGTAGTGAGTGGTATCAAGTTCGATGACCCATGCTCGGAGGGCTTCGTTCACCGCATCTCGAAGAGTCTTGCTGCCAGCTTCTACAGCAACAACCTTTGCTCCCAGCAATCGCATACGAAAGACATTGAGAGCTTGGCGGCGGACATCCTCCTAATTAACTTATAAGTCAAAGATTCGACATATGGAGTCACCAATACAGAATACTTACCGCTCCCATGTATACCGTGCACTCCATGCCAAACTTGGCACAAATCGTTGCTGTTGCAACACCATGTTGGCCAGCCCCCGTCTCTGCAATAATCTTGGACTTGCCTAAACGCTTTGCCAGTAGCAATTGACCCAAAGCGTTGTTGATCTTGTGGCTGCCAGTGTGGTTTAGGTCTTCCCTCTTAAGCCAGATGTTGGCACCGCCAGCGTGCTCGGTTAGCCTTTCGGCCAAATGGAGCCGCGATGGTCGTCCCATGTAGTCGTAGTAGGATCTGTACTCTTCCCAGAATTCAGGATCATCCTTGATTTTATTGAATCCCTCTTCCAACTGGGAAAGGCAATCCATCAGACTCTCGGGAACATATTGACCGCCGAATTCGCCAAATCTGTCGGGAATCTTGCCATGAAGAGCTGCAAGTTGCGAAACCAGATCGCTGTCTTGCTCGGCTGTAAGTCGATCTTGGTCAGTCACAACAGCGTTAACTGTCACGTTATCTCCACTTGGACCCTTGGCACCACTAATTGCCTCGACGACCCCAACCTCTCGGGTTGCTTCAATTTGCGGCAGAGCACCTCTTCCGCACAGGTACGCGCAGTACTCTTCGACGTCACTTGGACCTTGGCCGGGGCCGGCTCTCTGCAACGTGGTAACAATCTGACTTCCAACAACAACTCCATCGGCAATGTTGGCAACACTTAGAAAATGGTCACGCGTGCTAACACCGAAGCCAACAGCGGCAGGCTTGTTCCCACTGTACTTCTTCACACGTTCAAGGAGAGCAGGCAAGTTGGCATTCAGTGACCCTGAGGCTCCGGTAACGCCCTGCCGTGATACGACATAGATGAAAGAGTCAGCCAGCTGACACAGAATTTTCATCCTTGCATCAGATGTTGCGGGGGCGATAAGCGGGACGTACGAGAGGCTGCCAAGCACGATTCCAAATTAGCCACCATGGGACTGCTTAAGAAAAAGAAGGGACATAAGATTGTTGTTTATGAAGATATTCGCGACATTTGCGAGATGTGACTTACCTCCCCTTGGTACAAAGCTTTCTGAAGGATATGGCCTCTTCCGGCGGTAGATCGACAACAATGAAGCCATTGACGCCAGCTGCTTGGCAATCCCGTAACAGGCGTTCTTCACCATACCGCAACAGGGGGTTGTAGTATCCCATAAGAAGCACCGGCGCCCGCAAGCCTCGCCCACGTGCAGTTTTTATCATGGAAAGGGTTGTCTCAATAGAGACCCCGTGCTCAAGGGCAACCTAGCCAGGTTAGCCATGCTTCCCTGTAGTAGCATCGATGTCGGAGGCTACCGTACTGTATTGGCAGTCTGAATGGTCGGTCCATCTGCAATTGGATCTGTAAAAGGAACACCGAGCTCGATAATATCTAAGGGTGAGGCAGACGCAACGAATGTCAGACTTCAACGGGATACGCACCACGAAGCAAGGCTGGTTGGGGTACGTACCGGAGCCGCCTTTCTCCATAGACAACAGAATGTCCGTCGTGTCTTGAGGCTGGGGATAGCCTGCTGTGACATATGTCACAAGTGCAGCCTGTTGTATGACCGTCCTGTCAATAATAGATACGCCGCCTAAAAGCCATGACAGCGGCCGGTACCGGTGTCGTGCCCCACGATGAGGCAAGCTTTTGCGAGGGGTAGGAAAGAAGGGAGCTGACCTTGTTTTGCGCTTTGCAGCGCTGGAAGGTTTGCTTGATAGCATCCATGACGTATCTAAATATACAATCAAGACGCTACGATGAATTCCTCGAGATTGAGGGACTAACGGCTTAAAAATAGGATACTGAAAGCTGGTGGGCGTTTGCCTCTTTTATGTTCAAGTGGGGAGAAAAAATGACGAGTCTGGATGTACTTGACTCGAGTTGCCAGAGATGGGGCAACATGCAGGCACGCAGCCCCGCAGAATCACAGCCCGCCGGCCACTGTAAGAGGCTAGTTGGCTAGTAGTGATAGTACTACTTGACATGTACGTACATATCATCTGTGCTCTAAGTGACGGAGATATTAGGTCAACTGGCACAGGCGGCGCCTTGCTTACTTCACGGAGTACTCCGCAAGTACATACTTACTAAGAGTTAGTAACCTAGGTAATTAAATGCGCCCCGTCCATGTTGCTCTACCTTTCTTCGAACTTTGTAATACATAACGGCAGTTCCACGATCCCCTGCTGCAACAATACCCTCCGCCCGTCTTTGCAAGGCTAGCGCCAACTTCCAACATGCGAGATCCCGCATTTGCATCTGTAGCTGCATATTGGGGTCCCACAATTCCGGACTTGCCTAAAAGGGAAAGAAGGTCGTCCCCCGAACGTGAAGCCCGGATGCACGGACTAGCACTAGGCAGTGTAATGGAGATAGTACAAGGCGTGAGGTGTAATTGGTAGATAGTTACTAGGTAGTTATTTACCTCCGCGTTTGTATGAAGTTGATTCTCATCTCATACTCTATACGATGTTCTGCAACCCAACATAAAATGTGTCATGGGGCCCAACTTGTCTCTGTTGGCACAAATCGGCCATGCGGCGCCCAAGGGCAAAGAAAAGACCGCAAAAGGTTTCAATCTAAATCTAAAATATATGCTCCATTCTCTCTATTGTATAGTACATTAGACTCCGTAATGCTATCCGCAGGAAGTACACTGTTCAGTAAGTGTGTTTTGAGTCAAAGGGCTCGTATGGGTGTTGCTGATAAACATCTAAATGCACGTCTTCCATTTTCTCGCCCCGGCCATGGTAGTATTGAGATGAACCTGGTTGTCCTGACTGTGATTCATACTGACCACTAGTTTGCCCAGCGTACGGTAAGTCATCGGATTCTGGATCGCGGCCACCAAACGCCATGCCAGCCAGAGTTCGGATCAGCCCGATTAACACGACTATGACGTAAACAAGGAGAACACCGGTAGATATTAAGGCCTCCTTGATAATGCCCTTCAAGAGCCAGTTGGTTACCCGGTTGACCGCCGCCGATACCTCATCAGTGGTTGCCGAAGACGGCGAGGCAAGGAAATGTTGAAGGCCCGAGTCTCCAGACACACTCTGCTGAGCACCAAGGCTGAACGTGTTGTTGTCAAATAATGGGAAATCGACATGAGCGTGATCGTGGACCCAGGTCAATCCCTTTTGCACGCTCTCAAGCTTTATGCCGATAACACAATGCAAGACGGATTGAATAGGTTTGAGAAGAATTGTGCCGTTGAAGACCGTCTCGAGGCCCTTGTTCAAGGTACCGAGAAACACGTTTATCGTGTTATTCACAGCACCGGTGGCATTCGTCACGTACTTTAGGACGTCGTTGTTTATATCGTCATTGAGCCCTTTGACAACTCCATTCGCATCAGCCGCCCAATTTGCTGAGATGTTGTTAATTTTTGCCACAACCTCGTCTGCGAATTCCCCAATTTCCTTTGTCAGCTCCGGAACCTCCTTCTGAACCGCCTTCAGTATGACGTATTGACAGAGGCATGAGAAGAGACCGGCAATAGCGAGTGACAGCACAAAGATCGCAGGCCCAGACGTGGCGTACGCAAAACACCATCTAGCGAGAACCTTGCGTCTGCCACTCATTCTAGACGTTATCTCGATGCCAAGAAAAGCCGTAGTTGGTCTTGATGCTATGTAGGAAACATCCATGGAATCCCACTCATTTTTAAGCTTATTTTGTTCTATGAGTCTGGCTGCCTTTTCCTGGCTTCGCCACCGCCTGATCTCCATCCACGCCATGGGCGCCATGGCAGCGACGGCAAGCGAGGATAGGATAATGACGAAGAATACCTTGGCTTTATGAATAAGGTCAAATAGCTTGCTGAAAAACCCATCCAATTTGTCGTTGTTGGAGCAAAATTTGAGTTGCTCCTTCTTTGCTAAGGGGAATATGGTCTCGTTGAACCTGTAATTGCCGAGGCTCTTGTTCAGTGCCTCTCGAACAAAGTTGAAAGGGATAGAGATTGCCTGTTTCGTTAAATTCTGTACACCATCGAAATCTGGCAAGTCTTTATTCAGTTTCTGCACATCTGTGACGAACTGTGATGAGTTGAGATTGAACCCTTTCAATTTCTCGACTGGCTTGGTGAAGTCAATGGACGGCAGGTCGATGTTGAACTTGCTGAAAATGCTATTCTGAATTCCATCCTTGATTTTGCCGACTGTTTTTTGTAATCCGCCGGCTATTTCTTGAATTTCTCCTGTGGCTCCGTCGATAACCTTGTTGAAGGCTGCTGTGGCATCTTTTGTAACAGACGCAACCACGTCCAAGCTGGCATGAACCAGAGCCGTGATGAGACAGACATATGTCGCAGTGAGAAAGTTGATGTACCATAATATGATTGCTTCGACGCCTTGTATTATCAAGTCCAGCACCTTGACCATAGCATGCACGGCCTTCGAAATGCTAGACGCGGCAAGATGGTTCACTCCGGCAGAGAGGTAATGGGGCATGGATGCCATCGCACTCCCTACGTCTTCCACCTTGGTGCAAGCAGCCAGCGCTTTGGCCTTTGCATCGTCGACATTGTCATTCAGTTGGGCAAGTAGGAGAATGATCCGGACCAGAACCAAGAGCAAGAGAATTGTCCATCGATTGATCCATACTTGGGAGAGCCGAGAACTTAGGCCCAAATAAGGTGTTGTAGATTTCGTTGTGCGCTTGGCCCCTTTTTGTATTTCTGACAATTCGATCGAGTGGGCATGAAGAGAGCCTGGCACGTTTGGATAGTTGACTGTGGAACTCTGGTTCCTGGAGGAGGGCATCCTTGTTCTATTCGTATCAGTCCTAGTTGCTTTGGAGAAAACAGAAAAATAATAATCTTGTAGTAGTTTGTAGAAGAAGGAAGATTGAGAGTATGTATGGACGGGAATATGAGGTGGTGACTGGGTGGTTTGCCCGCTTGTAAAGGATGATTCAAATGAAGTAGAGAGAGGCACCGGGCAACAAGTACGATTAGCTTTGAAAAGAAGACAGTTAACGAACAGCAAAAGAACCCAAGGAACAGGGTTAAAGGGAACAAAAATATGCTCTCAAGAAGAAGAAAAAGTGCTTATAATCAGTTCGTATGCTCTCCCATGGTCATTGTGCAAGAAAAACGTAACAAAGAGTTGACAAGAATCTATGCATGCAAGCGAAAGGGAGGAAAGGGAGGAAAATGAAAAAGAACAATAAGCATCCAAGGATCCATGCAACTGCCTGCCTGATTCACTCTTAATGTAGCCATGTCGAACGAATTATTTGGTAGGTTGATTCGCTTTCAAACCAAAACGCTCTCCCACGCCTTGTACTTGGATACCTACCTAGGTACCTAGGCACTTACCCAAGGGTACCCAGCCCAGTAGATACCTCTTGAGGTCTGGTACTCCGGTACTCTGCGCATGCCTGGCGATCTACTGCATGACCATGTGCGACTCAGCGCTTACAGCGGGGCTGAGCTCTCGTTAAGCGCTGGGCGTCGATGAAGATGATCCAGTGGAGTCTCCTTGCAGTGCGTGACCGGGTTATTTCTCAAACAGAGCGTCAACGTCGAGACCTGCATATACCAAAAGAAAGAAAAGTCCCCTAGGAATTTGCCTAGACCACGTCCGGGGTTTCTTGCCTGTCTTTCTTTATCTGAAACACGTCAGGCCGGCATTGTTGAGCGACAGGGGCAGCTAATGAACTTGTGCCTATTGTTCCGCTGCATTCGTACAATGCCAAGCAACGATGAAGAACATTAAAGAGGCGAGGACAATAGCACGCATGCCGGTGTCTACATGCATAAAGACGCAGTGACTGAGAGCGTCGAAGGCATTCGAGCATAAAATAAAAATTGCTTTGACGCAGTGACTTGTGTTCCGGCCCTGTGCCCTGTTGCAACATCCAAGGCTAGGTAGGTGTTCCTCTTTGGAAGGCCAAATGTTAATGTCTGGTTAGGCCTTTTGCCAGGCATTCAGCAAGCAGTCTGGTATTACGGAGTAGAGTGTGGCCCTTCGGTTATGTCTTATTAGCCTCCTACTTAAGTAGGTTCGCTTGCAAGCCAACCAGACCCAAAGAGGCCACATCTGCCGCGGCCAGACACCAGACCCTTCACCCATCTACCTACTGTATGTACCTAGGTAGTTACCTGCCGGTCTCCCGAGTACAGCAAGTCTGGTAATGTTGCTGGCGCTAGCCAATGGTCGTCATGTCGCCCGCTCGAAATCCGAAACTCCAGGCATCTGCAGGAGCACCGCCAGTCCACCGCGCTGGGGTTATTTCACCAGACAGCACTCGAGGGACCCCTGACACCCAATCGCCTCAAGGGCTCTGAACCGCACCAGGCTTGCACAGCACAACAAACATGATGGTCAACTCGTTTCATGAGACGCGCAAGGACCCGGCTCTGAGGAGCTCCATAATGATGTCCGCTGATTCAAGTTTCAAAACGTCGAACTTCGAGATGTGCTCATTATACGACCAATCCAGCAACTCCCCCTCTTCTTCAATGCACGTGCAGACTACTCGCTTGGCACTTCAATATCCGGACTTCCAGGTCACGATTTCATTCGAATACATAAGCCGCAGCTTCCACTGATACGGCGTTGGCCGATCGCAGGCAACGTGGGGGGCTTGCAATCTATCGCAGAGTTATTCACACCAGCTACTTGCAGTGTTACTCCATAGTGCGGCTGCTCTACTTGACGTGGAGCGCGGATATCTAGCTCATTATCACATGAGGCGCGTAAGAAAATAATGGTTACTTCAAATTAATCCAAGCTAAATCAAAAAAGCAGGCTCGCTGTAGTGCCGCCTTGTCTAGCCAGCAGAGCTGCAGCCAAGAGCTCGCCACAACCCCAGTTTGCGAACTGCAAAAGTGGGAGAACTTCAGGCTTCGTCTCATCGGCACCAGCTCGGCTGAGCCAATGGAATTTGAAGCGAAACGATCGCGCAGAAGGATATGGGCTGTGACAGTCATTTCTCGAAAATCCACCCTGAACGCTGACTCTCCTGAGACCTGGTTCACTTGCCTCCGCGCTGTTGAGCGCAGGTTGCAAAGAATGTCCCACAAATATGAACCAGATCCGTTTCAAGAAGTAGGCAGATGCAGGAACAAGCAACTCTAACCGAGACCCAGGGCCAAATCAAACAAAAGTTTTAACCGTGCAAGACCGGAACGCCCTTCATCACCATCTAACAAAAACATCGCGAGCCCAACTAAGCTTTTACGCGGTGCCAAAAGTGTTTTCGCCCGAGTAGGTGATGTAGAGGAATCTGCAAACGACTAATTAGACCATGGTGCTGTGTATGTAGAGATGTTGTTTTTAGCGATGGGGAGCATACCCGTCTTCATCCTTGTGCTCCTCGTAGATGCTGCTCATAAGAGCCGCAGTTGGTGGCAGCACCTCATCAACGAATATAAATATTGCCTTCTCTGGAGACAACTTGATTCTCTTGCGAATTACATACACGAACTGCCCGACTGTCAAATCCGATGGCACCAGATATTTCTTCTTGTCGATGGTGGCGATGTCGCTCTTCTCTACCTTTTCGCATATGACCTGAAAGAATACAAGAGTCAGCTTTTGAAACTTTGCGGGATTGATGCGATGCATTTATTCTGACGGTGATAGGCCAGGAAATGGACAAGGCCATCACAGGCAGTCGCCAAGCTGATCCCCAATTCAGCGCAAGATGCTTACTGGAATGCGATCCGCATATTTCTGGCGGATGCGCTCGGCCTCGGCCTTACGCTTTTCGAAAGGGTGTTCGTCCTTGAACTTGCTTCGCATGATGACCGTATGCTCGGTTCAGCACAGATGTGTTGGTAGTAGTTAAGGCTGTGGTTGCACGTATGTTGTTGCGATCAGAGATGTAACAGCAGGTCGAAAAACGGAAACGATGTGTAGTGACAGAAATCAAAGCTTGTCGATGAAAGGGAGAGCTACTGGGTGGGAGGAGATGATGCGCTGCCTAAACTAATAGGCAGGTGATGACGAGGCAGCAGACCACGGAAGAAAGAGGGGTGTTGAAGAATGACCAAATCAAAAGAGAGGCGGTGGCAGGCAGTGACAGGCACGAGGCCAAGAGCGCGGGGAGTGACTTGGCTAGTCCAAATCCGGAAAGGTCGAGCTCGACGAGTGAATCACTGGAAGCTGTACTGAGACCTCCTTGGCAGTATTGAAATCACAAAACCACGGAGTATTACTCGAGAGGGCTATGGTGAAGACGATGGAGTTATTGGAACAGGCTCACACATTCCATACCCTCTCTCCCTTGGGATGTCTTTTTCATTTTAAGGGTTACACCGAAGGGCTTCTAGTTTTCTATCAGACTACCCGATATCGAGCTCTTACGGCTTCTGCGTGCCTTCTGCCAACTCAGCCACGTTGCAATTACCTGAAAAAGCTGCCGGCGTTCAGGCTTATGTGAAAATTTAGGACTGTAGGTAGTCGTCGTTGGCTTCGACCACGGGCACAATTTCTATGCCCAAACAATTATGAGAGAAACCTAAATCAGTTATCTGTCATCGGCGCGAACAACCGATTGCCGTCCAGCATCACACGGAAAGCAAGCCTGCTTGAATACCAATGCATCAAAATCCTAAGTGCTATTAGCGGTGGCTATTTCAATATATCGAGAGCACCTCGAGCTTGTGTGGTTAAGCAACTGAGCGACTGCTTACTGTATTACTCCGTGCCTCAACTGCTGAAATTGACCAGTTCTACGTGGGGTGGGTGGCACGGGCGGCGGGCTGGTGGCCAGATTCCCAAGAAGCCTGCTCAAGCTTCCCCGCCGTGTAGTGGAGCCTAGCTGCCTAGGTACCTACATATGTATGTACATACTCCGTCGGAAGGCTGTAGCTTCGGTGAACAGCTGACTTGGCGAGAGTATGGTACGTTCTTGACAACATTCGATATTCCCGCCCTTTTGAGGAGCCAGGCCTCAACCATCCCCCTCCCCCGGCTTTGCCCGAATGTGCCACACATAGACGCGATATATTGCAGGAAGACGGACAGCAGTGTTAGTACTCTGTAGTCACTGCAGAACTTTTCACACCCTTTGGATAGCTATACCGTGGCTGCAGCATCTATTGCAGACGACTGAGCTTCGTCGTCGACAATGGCTTCACCCAGTCGCCAAGCGCAGCGGTTTGTTTCTGGGTTTCGCCCTCGTGCGTGGGTTGTCCCAGCTCGCTGTCACAATGGCCCTTTCAAGCTAGGCCGACGTGTTGCGTCCAGTTCCGCTGGCTACCAAACTCGTCGACCGGCTTGGACGCCAATCTGGGCGGGAGCTCTGGCGCTTATTGTCGGGGCGCCATTGGCACTCCAATCAGTGAGTTATGTGATGCTTATTTGATGATGGATTGTTCGCACTCAATTGCTCATCATAACTTTTAACCACAGGCAACGGCGAACGGAGCAAGCCTCGATGCAACGACCCTCGCAGAAAAAGATGCTCAGAAAAAGAGGGAAGCGACAATCAACGAGGATTCCCCGATGAGGCTTCGAATGGAGAAATTCATCAAGGAACAACAGCAGATCATTGTCAAAGAACTTGAAAAAGTGGACGGCAAAAGATTCCGGAAGGATGAGTGGACCCGAGAGAATGGCGGTGGCGGCATATCCTGTGTTCTCCAAGACGGCAACGTATTTGAGAAGGCTGGCGTCAACATCAGCGTCGTGTACGGCTCCCTCCCAAAACCTGCCATACAGAAGATGCACGCAAACCACAAGATGCTCGATCCAAGTGTAGAGTCCCTCGACTTCTTCGCCGCCGGCCTGAGCATGGTCCTTCACCCCAAGAATCCAATGGCGCCCACGGTCCACCTCAATTACAGATATTTCGAAACAGCGAACCCAGACGGATCATCCCAAGCATGGTGGTTTGGTGGAGGTAGTGATCTGACACCTTCATATCTCTTCGACGAGGACGCCATCCATTTCCACAAGACACTAAAAACCGCTTGTGATTCCCACGACAAGACATACTATCCACGTTTCAAGAAGTGGTGCGACGAGTACTTTTATAACAAGCATCGAGGCGAATGTCGCGGCGTTGGAGGTATCTTTTTCGATGACCTCGACGACTCCGAACGTGACCAAGAGAACACCTTCGCTTTCATCCAGGACTGCTTGAAATCTTTTATACCATCATACCTTCCCATTTTGGAAAAACGTAAGGATATGCCGTTTACAGCAGAGGAGAAGGACTGGCAGCAAATTCGGCGTGGCAAGTATGTTGAATTCAATCTTGTGCACGACCGGGGGACTGCCTTTGGACTGAACACTCCGGGATCACGGGTGGAAAGTATACTCGTCAGCTTACCGCTGACCGCGAGCTGGAAGTACATGCATGAGCCAGAACCAAGAAGTAGAGAACAGCGCCTCGTAGACGTTCTGAAAGACCCGAAGGACTGGGTTTGAATCCAAGCATCTGCAGGCGGGGAGGCTTATGCCCCGGTAGCATTTGTGCCATGTATAAAATAATTGCTTAGTTTTATGTCGAATAAAATCAGTGAAATTTAGAAGGGGAGACAGGGTTGAGATGGCATTTCAAAATCTGTACACATCTCGTGCCTTTTGGGTGGAATATATTATCTCTCTCTCTCCATCCCAGTATCTCTCTCCCTCCTACCACGTCTAGGCGAGGTGCAGTCGCAACCAGGACGCTGGTGCAGTCGAGCTCTCCAGGTACCAAGATCCGGCTCAATTGCCTACCTGGTAGTAGATTAGGTACCCAAGTGCCTGCTGAGAGGGCCAATCATAATGGAGTTGCATACGAGTGTAGAAAATGCCACGATTCGCAAAGGTGACCATACTTCAGTAAGTTCAGTTGTAGAAGTCGCTGAATGCCAATCGGCCATTCCCACCCAGTTCATTATTTTTGCTGTATTACCAATTGTCACCTTCTTTGGAATTCGAGCAACATGGCTTTTTCAGTTTCGCCGAACAGACAATCGGAGTATCTTTGGACTGGAGACTGTGATCGCATGAGGACCCGACGTACCACACGGTGACAACCAAATATCTAGCACTGTGTTCATACGCTGGTGGATGACTAACTGCTCGATTATATCCCCTAAATGCAGCGAAGGCGGCAGTGAGGTCACGGGCTCCATAACGCCCCTGCCACCGGCCGTAAACCTTAAGTGACATTAATAATATTTATATCAGGCCTAATAATGGTGTGGTTATGATATGTGTGATGTAGTTTCTTGTAATGTGGAAGTTTATGGGGACTTTTCTTATCATATAAATTAAGTATAAAATTAAGTACCTTTTAAATATTAGCTTAAAATCCCTGTCGTGACCTCGCTGCCGCCTTCGCTGCATTTAGGGGATAGAAACACCACATACCCTCAAGTTTCGGCACGTACCTAGTTAGTTGGATACACCCATCATCCCTCACTGTCTCGAAAATAGCGAGAAGTGACAGGTCTAACCTTTGAATTTTTGTCTTGTTTACATTTTGTTACGATGCTGCCTTTCATGATCTAGGCTGAGAACCAGGTCTCACGATGACGCCAGGACCTCTTCCCTCCCACGGCACGATCTTATCCTCGCTTATGACCTCAATATCCAAATCATCCTGCGTTACACTTGAGCAATCGAACGGCGTGCCTCGGCAGATTTCGCAAGAGGCTTCAAAAAGGGAACTTCGAAGTGTGATGCTGACACTCCATGTCTTGTTTCCTCATCTTGTATTGCCTGCATTGGACCTGATAGATAGGCGGCTGATTGATAAATTTCGAGTTAGCTCAGATGTATCAGCTGGGGCAGAAATAGGTCCAGTTGTCAACAGTGACCAGGGACTTGGTCAACCGCGGCCTTCTCAGAACAACAAGACAACAGAATGGGGTCACAACGAACCGACAGTCTATGCTGTTCGACCGCTTTCTTCCAAATCCCTACGTTTGACAGCGACTGATACAAGAGCCTTACCGAAAACGCATATTGTGCACCTCACGGCCTGGAATTGCTCATGCGCCAGCTTCGCTGTTGCTAAATATTGCAGCCAACGCTTGAATGATGCGCAGTTTAACTGTATTTACTCTGCCTTTGCTTGTGGGCTGGAATGGTCATCGTGGAATGCACCCCGAAGTGATACCTTTGCGAATGGCGACAGCTTACCGAGCTGTAAACATCTTCTAGCGTGCCTGTTGGCTGACAGATGTGAGCATTTATTTGCGGACAGTGTTGTAAGCAAGATTGTTTCAGACTATGAAATGGCGGCTCTTCTGTCAGCAGTTTGATTCCTGCCGAAAAGAACTGGGATCATCCTAACAGAAGTTTAATGTGCGAAAGGACTTGTGAGGAATCGCTCCCATGTTATTCCACAACGATGATGGAATAGACGAGTAGAATTACGAGAAGGTCAATGCGTTAGTCGATCGTTGTCTATTAATAACGAAGTGTACATAGGGATGGTGTATGTAGCCTTAAATCTACCCGGCAAGGCTCGAATCATACCCCGGAAGCCCAAGATACAGAGGAGGCTCATGTATGACCAGCCAGATCACCCCCACTATTGCTTCTTGTCCTTGCTATCCTTCTGTTTGTCACTAGTCTCCTTGGGCTCTCCGCTATGTCCGCTGAGGCCGTTTTCCTTTTTCTCTTCTTTAGCAGCATTTTCCTCTTTCTTTGCCTCCTTCTCATCCTGTTGCTGCCTGTTCTGTATCTTATTTTCTATAAGATCATGGAATGCAGTGATGGCACGTATCAAGCTGCTCAGGTAGATAGCCATGAGTTGATCGTTGGTTTTAATACTCATGGCATATGCTAATTCACCCCCGCGAGACTCCCCATCCACCTCCGGAGAGGACAAGTTTGGCAGTAAATTAAAGACATCTTGCAAATTGCCTAGGATCGCGTGATTGACTGGCAGTTGGCCATCTAGAACCTTTTGGAGATACGCGCCAATGTCTCTCAATCGTAAGTGAAGGCCTTGAAGCGACTGAAGCTGGTTTGTAACGCGTGTAGATAGAGTGCCAACAGCGACATCTCGGATATCCCGTAGTAAATGTTCGACGCCAATTTCCTCAGCCTCCTCAGCCTCAATGATAGAAGGCGTGTGGACAAACGTTCTCGAAGTGGTAGTGCCATCCTTATGTGTGTGTTAGTGGCTATGTAAGGGAGGGTAGACAAGTGACTCGTCAAAAGAAAAAAAAAAAAGGGGGGGGACGGGACACCGAACCCGGTCTTTCAACTACGCAGGCACTCGGGCCTACATGACCTCAAGGGGTGACTCTACTCACATCTTTGATTTCTTCGACGGCAAAGTAGGCGTCCGTTGGTACTCCCGATTCTTTTGGTTGGACATCAATGATTACAAGCAGCGGGTTGGGTGTGTATCGCTTGAACAGCTCGTTAATCTCGAGATCCGAGGCTCGTAGCTTCGGGCCAGAGTGGTACCACCCGATCAGTTTCTCTCTCGCGTTGACTTTCTTGAACATGTCATTCATAGATTCGACGTAGTTGTGATCCAAAAACCAGACTGACGGGTCTGTATCGTCTTCTTCGAACGGCACTGTGATGAAGCTGATTAGATGCCGGCTACTCAGCCAATTTCCAAGAGTATACCACATTTAGTACTTACCGGCAAAGCTATTTGACACTCTGACATTTTTGCCGTCGTTCTGGCCTAGGAGCACACCAACTACTCTTCTTTTCTCTTTTTTCGGAGCCGTTCGATTGTAATGATCTACCGCTGAAAGCAACACCAGAGGGGCGACGGAAACGTTTCGGGTGACGAGAGAAAGAGTTTCTGCAGTGGTGGTAGGCATCGTCTGTCAAGCAGAACCTCAGTATCGGGCTCTGCAGAGAAAATCTGTTGGTGTAATATCGGAGAAATCAAGAAAAGGTGAGCGCGAAGCGATCACCTCTTGACCTATGTACGTGTGCGCGCGGCTGCCTTGACGTCTGTGCTGGCAAGCCTTAACGCTGTCTTCCCGAATCGCCCAAATGACTGTACTCGCAACACACAAGGTAATGCTAGCAAAGGGATCGGATGGAGATAGAACGATCAGAAAAGGCAAAGCTGGGAGACTCGGAAGCTTTCGAGTTACCAGATGGATGAGGCCAGCCTGCTATTACGGCACCGTAGTTGCAGAGGTGTGTGGGCCATGAGCTCTCGAAGGCGAAGCCTGAACGTCACGTGGGCAGAAAGCTCAAAACTAAGACAATTTGGGATGCACAAAACAACTCTCTATACTCCGTAGACAACCCTTAATAGAACCTAAGGTGTTTCAGGCCGTTTGTTTCTGTTTTCGGTTACTTAACGCTTACTGACCTAAGTAGTCATTTTATGTCCTTATTTTACTAAACTGGAGCCCCAGACACAGTACGAAACCCTTGTGTTGGAGGTACGGCTAGAGCTAGGTACCGACTTGGGTAAAGTACTATTTAATATCCATGCTCGACAGTGAAATTGCTCACCTCTGGGGCCTGGCCCTAAAGCCTCACAATGGCGGTCCGGCGTGCAGCGGGCTTTCACCAGCTACGAACTAGCTACATGACCACTGAGTCCCGTTTCTGCCCGAGCTTTGAGCGCTCAAACTTAGGGATGGTCGCTCACGGGCAAATGGAGATTTGTCGATAGATTCCCAACCCGAGCCTCCCGACCGCCTGACCCTTGAAGCTTGCCTATGTCACATCTAGGTCCCTAGCAGGTAGATACTCGACTCCTTCAGTGTCTGAGCAGGTGAGTAGGGTAAGGTACAAGTACCAGTGTCAGTTTGAGAATTGAATGCTCCCAGCTGATACCGGCTCCTGCCGCAAGTGCCCGATGTTTGCTGTATCTACCTAGAAGGGTGTTCTGGTAATTTTCACCTACATTATCAGCTATAATAAGACATTTTATCAGAAATTTCATTCGATATAACAGACCTTTTAACGGCCTGTGGTAATGTGAAGGCCTATTTTCTGATAGCTACCTCGGTAGTGCTGCCCTCAAGAACAGTGGCCGCGCGCTTAGGTACCTGGGTACCTACTTAGTCTCCACCTACACCTTACGCATTCGCTGTCGGCTTACCCGGCTTTCGCAGGCCATGGTCGTCCTGTATTTGGTACACCGGTCGCTCAATCCCAGCGCCAAATTTTGCGCCGCATGTCTTGATTGCCAGGTATATGTACCAAGCGCTAACGGTCAGCAGCTGGACTGCACGGGCGACGAGCGCAAGGCGACCCTGGCGAACCAATCAGGCAGCTAGGGCGGACGGAGCCTAGGCCAAAGTAGCCGACAAAATCACAAGAAACCTACCTACTCCTCGTCGGGATCAATTGACTGCAGTCCTCCACTTCGATTCCTGTATTGTCGTCCTTCCCTTTCCCTCCCTCTCCATATCTCAATCCTTGCAACCCGTCACGGGGTGAGCTCCCTATCAGCACCTGGAAGAGTCTAATTGACCAGTTGGCTTCGTATCACTTGAACCCAGTCCTGCCACTTTTTTATGATCATGGGTTTCGTCGAGGATGAGTTGAAGCAGCTGAAAGAGGTCATTGGCAACCTCGACTCGCGCATCAAGCAGCTGGAGAGGCGTGCAATGGGCTCCTCTCCTTCCACTGAAGAGATTCGCATGGTCATTATGGGGCCGCCCGGAGCTGGTAAGAACATCGTGACATCCGCCATCCCTCGGGACGTCGAGTAACCTCGAATTTTTAGGCAAAGGAACGCAGGCGCCAAAGATCAGGGAACGATTCTCCTGCTGCCATCTGGTATGTCATTAGCCAAAATACCTAAGTAATAACCTGATTGTTTCGTCGCCTGGCTTTTTTTTGACTATCTTTGTCTTAATGACAATACAGGCCACGGGTGACATGTTGCGTTCTCAGGTTGCGAAGAAAACTCCCCTTGGTCGAGAGGCAAAGAAGATCATGGATCAGGGCGGTCTCGTAAGTGACGACATTGTCATCGGAATGATCAAAGAAGAGTTGGAAAACAATAAGGAGTGCCAAGGAGGGTATGTCTACAACCCTTGGATGTTTCTAATCGAACCAAGCCTTTGCTTACCAAAAGTCCAGTTTCATCCTTGATGGATTCCCCCGCACGGTTCCTCAGGCAGAAGGCCTTGACTCCATGCTTGAAGAGCGAAAGCAGAAGCTTCAGCATGCTGTTGAGTTGCAAATTGATGACTCGTTGCTCGTTGCACGTATCACCGGTCGCTTGATCCACCCTGCGTCGGGTCGGTCTTACCATAGCATATTCAATCCGCCAAAGGAACCTATGAAGGATGATGTCACAGGCGAGCCCCTCGTTCAGCGAAGCGACGACAATGCAGATGCATTGAAGAAGCGTCTAGTCACGTATCATAAGCAGACGACACCAGTTGTTGAGTACTATCAGAAGACTGGCATATGGAAGGGCATCGACGCTAGCCAACAACCTGGACAAGTGTGGAAGAATATGCTGGACATTTTGGAAGGAAACAAAAGTCAGGGATCCGGTATTCTGAGCCGAATTGCCAATTAAGGACTAAACGCGTCTTATAGTGGTGCAGCTCAATCGATGGAAATCCGTCTTAGTTCAGCGAGCCTCGTTGCTTTCAAGAAAAGAGGTACACTATGTAGTCTTATAGTCCAGATTTTACCTGCATGTATCAAATACAACCCAAAACACAAGATTCTGGATAACATCCACAAATGGAATCAAACAAACGCTAAGCTTTCGCATGCTTTATAAGCTAAGGGCAAAGGTTTGGAGTCTCAATTTTCATTTGAGGGTTGAGGGCTTCGTCTAGTGCTTAAGTACACCTCCGATCAATCATGTGGTCTTGTAGCTTCATACTTGACAGCTTCTGATATTGTCGTGCTGTAGTTCCTGGGCATGGTTTCGACTTACTAGGGACCGTTGAGGTGCCTAGGAATTTGAGCCATCCAAACTAACCGTCAGCGACTAAGTGGCCGTTCAGTGGCTAGCCCACATAGTTGCCAACGGGTAAAGTCTTAGGTACTTGAGTCAAGAACGTGTGCTGTCTTGCGATGTTCGAAGGGTTGATTCACTCGTTCACAGCTACACATGACAGATTGACCGTTGATTCAGAGCATTCACCTAGGGCTCCAAAGCAAAATCAAGTGCAAAATAATGATGTATGGATGCATTAGAAAAGGGCTTTGTCTAAGGTGGGTATAAAAGTCGCGTTGATGATTAGACCATTCTGGAATACCGATATGTCCATACGTGAGGTCAGATAAGACGTAGGAAGTATCATCAGACAAAGAAGAGAGCGAGAGAAAGCCAGGGTAGGACGCTACAGCGTAGGAAGTCTTGCTCCTCGACAGAAGTGGCAAGCTCGATACGAAGGCAGACATAATCTTTGTGTGCCATTAGGTGAATACAGTGCTGGGGTGGATCACGGCGGCTTCAAACCATGAGATCCTATCTCCGCGGAGTCGCTGGAAGACTTTTGGTCAGTAGAGGTAGAGCAAGTCGCGTTGGCGCAACTGACCATTGACCATCTGCCTCTGCTTGTTCAGCCAGCTTCTTGGCGCGTCATGCCGCCGCTGAACTACAACATGGTTGCTCTGCAGTCGGCTTGCGAGATCAAACCAAGCTGTTGCGATGAGAGCGTTCTCTCTTTGAAGGTTCTTCATAAGCTCATCAGAAGCAGCCTTGACGATATACCACAATTAGTAAATTTGAAATTAGATGAAGGATAAGTAAAGGCATGCAGCAGTTGCTCAGTCCATAGCTGCGAAATGAACAGACTTACCCTTTGGCCAACCGAAGCCTCGCCGCCTTGAGCTGCCTTGAGACGATTTTGCAAGTCAAGTTTTTCTTGCTCCGATTGTTCAAGTTGCTGTGGACAAGGCAAGTTAGAACCAAGGCAGAAACATACACAATGTGAGACCAGGTGAAATTTTGGGGCCGAGGTCTCGATGATGACACCAATCCATTGGCTGTGCATTTTCAATGCCGAAATACCAACTGGATAAACAGCAACTTGCGGCAAAGAAAGCGAAGTCTTCCACTTCGCTTGCCATCTTTGAGGACTAGTCCAGCCAGCCGTAACTGTAGTATTCGACCATATTTGTACCATGTGTTCTCAGCGACCAACCCGACTGCAACTGCGCAGCTCCCGATCCCAGCTCACAGTTATGTGGATCTGTGAAGCCAGATCATCATAACAGCCATTTGCAAAGACCAGGGACATTGACAAAGATGGACGTAGTAACTTACCAGTTTTCGTTCCTTGAGGCGTGTACGCAGTTTTTCTATCTTTTCACTCGATTTCCTCATCGTCTCAGACATATCTGCATCCGCTGACCCAGCCATTGAGCTCTCTTGCAATTCTTTTGTTTCTTCGACCTCTTTTCTGAGCCTGTCCTTGGCCAGAAGTGCATCAATCAGCTGAGACTTCTGAGCGTCCCGTTCACTGACGACAAAGTTGTACTCCTCCCTTAGCCTGTCCAGCTCTGCCTTGAGGGATTCGGAGATCAGTTTGTCGGTGCTCTTGAGCTCATCAATAGCCTCGGTTCCGCCCTTTTCTGCGGCCGAAAGCTTTGCTTTGGCTGCAATCAGCTCTCGATTCATATCTGAAACCTTAGATTGCAGCTCGGCGGCTCGTCTTTTGATTGCATCAAGCTCTTCCTGTGACCCGACGAGCTGAGTTCGCAAATTAATGAATGCTTCGGACCTGTAGTCGTAAATTAGATGGTTAGTTTACGCGAATTCAAATTTTTTGCAGATATCGATTCTTGGTCCCGTACCCTTCATTCGTGGAGTCACTTATCAAAGCCGTAATTTGTTCTTGAGATAATGTATGCTTTTCGAAAATGTCATTAAAATTCTGCTGGAGACGATCCCGCTGCCGGCGTTGCTCTTCAAGCTCACGCCTGAGAAGGGCTGCATCGCCTGTTGATCCAAGTGTTCGTCTTAGAAGTTCATTTTCAGCCTTCAAGCGAGACAATTCTAACGGAAGATTGGTCTGTCTATCCTCGTCGGTCGCATTATTCAACTCGTCCTCCAAACTAAACGCCCCGGAGAGTGCGGCAACGTTGCCGTCTTGTGTTACCCCATCTGGCCCTTGTTGCACCTGTTCTTGCAAGTCCTGAATAAACCTTTCATCGTGTGTTCTTTGAGCCTTTAATCTCGTTAGCTCCTCCTCCAGTGCAGCAACGTCTTTAATGAGCTGGTTCTTTTGATTGCGCTCATCCCACAGGTGTTGCTCGGACTGTGTAATCATTTTAGTGAGTTCATCCTCGGCTTTCCGGGTCCTCTCATTCTTCTCTCTGTCATCCACGAGAAAGCGCAGCTGTTCCTGCAACTCGGCCTTTTCGTACTGCAGATTTTGGACTTCTTTAGCAAGGTGTTGCTGAGACTCAAGTTTCTGCTTGTATCTCTCCGCTGTATTTGCTTTTTTTTCAAACTCCTCCGCTTTGTGCTTCCACTCTGCTACCTGATCCCTGAGTTCGTCTGCCTGGATGCTCTTCTGGTTCAATCTTTGAACCTCGCCCTCTAGCTGAGATTTAACTCGATCATGATTACGGATAGTCTCTTCATTCTTCGTTATGATTTCCATTTGCTCGTGGACCTGAGCCTCAAGTAGTTTGATAGCTTCTGCACTGTTGACGCCGTCTTGCGTAGCTTTTCGTAGAACCTCGAGTTCACGATCGTTTTTTTCCTTTTCATATTTTAGCTCTTCATGGCTCTGCTGAAGGTATTCCAAACGAGTAATGTAATCCGAAAGATTCTTCTTTGTGCTGTCAAGCCGTTGTCGAAGCACGGCATTTTGCTCTTCTACTAGTAGATCAATGTCCCTCGCTTCCATGACCGCATCGATAGCCTCATCCAGGTCATCATCGTCCTTATAATTGGAGATATCTTGTTGCATTGCTCGAATGATTTGCATAATCTCCGCCTGATTTTCACGGTCGAGACCATGTTGTATTCTAGGAACATATTTGCCGTTGTCGGGGCCCATAGCAGCAGCAGATACCATGACGGCAAGGAGCTAAAGAATGCAGTTGATAAGTAACCAGAACAGTAGGTGGGTTGTGGATCTTATACATAATTACGGACACGCACCTGGCTGATGCCCTGAGGCTCGGGGTTCTCTGCCACAGCATGATAATCGAACTTTTTTGCTTGGCAGCTGAGCTCAGGGACTTGCTGACGTATAAATCTGAAGAGACCTTTATAAACGGCCTGAATGTTTCGTTTGTTGGTCAGGTACTTAGAGGTGCCATGGCTTGACTCAAGGTGTGATGGATCGAATTCGGAATCTAATTCATGGAGGATGTGGGCAAGCATAATGCCGTTTGTTAATTCATCGAGGGATTCGGCAGCTTGGTTTAAATCAAAAACATGATTCGCCTGAAAGTTTGAATCAGCCAACCGTAATGAAGCTCGAACGGATGTTAAATTTTCCATTGGGGCCATTCAGCATATTCACTAACAGACTTAAGAAGAGCAGCCTGCGCGCGGGGACTATATGTGGGCATTGCCTTTGTTGCAGACGGAGGAGCCATTGTTATGCAAGCCCAAGCTCTTTTGAAGGCACGGCCTATAGGTATGGAGAAGTTGACGCGGCTTAGTCAAAGTTTGGGCTGACTCTGGAACCAAGGACCAGCATATCGGATCAGGGCTCACGTAGTCGTGACAGGTAGTGATGTAAAGGAAACTGGGAGCATACCGTGCCGAATTGCTCTCACAGCTAAAAGGCACGGAGAAAATGAGGAGCAAGATCAAGGAGCAGCTTCGGCAACGGGACAGCCGAAGGGCATGAAGGTTAGCTGTCAATGCGGGTTCCACGCGGTCAAGGGTCTCGCATCAGATATGACACAGCCCCACCAACCACCCGGAGCTTTTGAGAGGAGGTGAGCATTGCTTGCTTGGTACTTAAGTACTTAGCACCAACGATACGATGCGAACGTAATGCGTGCCAGTACTGATTACCTACCTACGCGCGCGGCCCTTATTTCTAGTGACAGCATAACTATCATAAGACAGGTCCTAAATTATCACCATTTATTAAAAGTTTAATATATTATGTGAAAATTTTTAATTAATTATCTTATTATAACTGATAGCCAGAAGACAGTCACCAGAAAACCCCTTAACGCGCTAGGGTACCTACCTACCGGTAGGTGTAGTACTGAAGTAATTAATGGTTAATTGTTAGCTTGAAGCCCCACATAACGTCTCTTAACTGCTTGTTGACACAGCATGCATTCACGACTGTTTCAAACTTCTGTACGTCTTGCAAGTCGCATAGAAGCCTCGATATTCCTGCCGGCTCACCCACGCTGGCAGGCACTGGAACGTGCATAGAGCTACAATGGAGTCAAGTCTACTTAATTATGAATGCAGTACCAGACACTAAAGCGTTTCAAAATATACGTTCAGTCGTAAATGCCAAATCATGGCAGGTATCATTATAGGCTAAAAAAAAAGACTTGAATAATGTCCCATCTGTGGCAAACACCGAAACAAAACCCCCTCCCTCCAAAGAACGATAACAAAAAATGACGCCTTTCATCTGATATTGTGAAATGTACAACAGCCTTCCGCAATGACTCACTGAATTGTAGCCTCCTTGACCTCTTCAACCGTCATGCTGTGACCTGTATCCCACGCCTGCACTATCTGCAACGCCTTCTCTGGTGCGATGACGTCAAATCCTCTGTTTCACTCCGAGTTAGTTGAAGTCTGAAAGTCTAACCCAGCTAACTCACTTAATGATCGTATAAGTATGAATAACTTTCCCTCCGGCTTCTACTAGGAAATTTTTTGCCTCTTCTATTACGATATCGGGCGTGGGCTCGTCAAAAGACACAATAGCCGACATCTTTTGATTCATAGCCAAAGCCGCAGGGAGGGCCGCAAGGGCGACGATCAGACTTGAGAGCAACTTCATTTTCTCTACTAGGACTCAAATCGTTTGCGAAGGCTTCTAGGCGCGATAGAAGATGCCAGTATTCTTGTTTTGTACGAGGAAAATGCCTAAAGAAAAGGTACGGGCGGGCAGTGGTTGCAAGAGCTGATAAGTTGGGGTGGCGGCCATGTCTTATCCCTTTGAGTGTTCGAAGGTGCCGATTTTGTACTGGCCCCTTTTTATCTGCAGTACCTAGCAGGCACCTTTTTGGTAACAGGGTCACGGCCTCAAAAGGCGGGTGGGCCCCTCAATCGCGTTGGGGCTATGATACGTGTAATGTAGCTTTTTGTAAATACGGCAGTTACGGGTACTTATATGATCATATTAACTTTATGTTTTGAGTTTCCATTGGTTGACATCCTTGTTTGATACGAAAGTGGCACCCTTCGAACACTCAAAGGGATCAGTGAGTCATCGTCCGCTTTAATATTAATCCGGCATCATTTCACGCCCACACAGTCCATCATTGGAAGGTGGTTAATACTGATCCCCACTCCCCGACTGAAGTGTAGGAGAGTCTGTTCAATCTCGAGCTTCTGATTGGAAAGGTGGCAACGGCATTGACGGACATTAATAGAAACACACCACGTATGTACGTTTTCTTCCCTTGACGAGAAGAAAATGAGAGATCAGGCTTGCAGATGAATCAGGGATTATTGGGCTCTGCGATCGACATACAATCCCCAGACGCAGGTGTACAACTCGGCGCACTGGTCCACCCCTCAAATCATTAAAAGCAATCGCGCCACCTACCAAGATAGGGAGCTCAATTTTGCACATACAGACAAATTAAAGACAATATAGACCAAACACTGTAGCGGCCTGGGGGTAGTTTATCAGACGTCATACGCTAAAAAACAATGTCAGCTAGAAGAAGCAGGAACTGTTGAGTGGCAACGCATCCATCGATTTACAGAGCCAAGAGGGATTTCAGCTACCTTGGAGCGATTTGCGACTGGCAAGCACAAGAACTTGGAGTATCGGGTTTCATTAGGAACGCGTATCGATAGATTTGTCCTCATTCCAGACATCCTGGCTTTCCTGTTCGACTGCTCGCATAGCCACCGTAACGTTTTCCAATTTTGCTACAACGTCAATGACACCATCGTTAACCCTTTGAAAATATTTATCGTTGGCTTCTCTTCTTTTCCGGCCAAGAACAATATCCAACTCTGTTTCTTCAACGATCTTGGACCTAAAAGAACCCAAAGCTTCATTCTTGCCTTTGAATCCTTCACCAGTTGTCTTGTTAAGACTTTTCGCTTGTTCTGTTCCCTCGACGGCACTCGATTTCGGCGGTTCCATGAAAACGCCACGAAAATTGTGAAGTTGCTCGCCAGGAGAGGGAATGACTTTATCTTGCGGAGATGCCCCGATTGACTCATCAGCCTCACTTCTTGCCCAGGCTTGTGCGAGTCCTATTTGCGCAGAGCGTAGCTCAGAAAGCTTCCGATCATGCCCAGGTCCAAACACATGAGTACCACCTGATGCTGACAGTTCAACCTCCTCTAGAGTAGCCTGCATCTCCGCCCATAACGCATCAGTCTTATCCGTACTCTGAGTGCTCCCTGCTTTACCGGATCGCTGCAAATTTGTTGGAGCAGATCCGGAACGAAGAGATGTGCTGCGCTCCAAAGTAGAGAGTTCTCGTCTTGAAGTAGGCGGAGCCGATCCAGGAGCTGAAGGGCTGGACAAAGACACGCGTGATCCGCCCGGAGAAGGATGAAGAAAGAGTACCGGGTGAGGGTCCCGTTGTCTTTCCACTGCTTTCGACATCGGAGACTTTAATGGGCAACATCAACATTCATCCCCAATGTGACAAGATGCCTAACAATAGCTCCTGGTTATTATCCCATCCTCAAGCGGGGTTTAATCGAGTATCTGCCCACCTACTACCTACCTAGGTAGGTGTTGGGACAGGGCAGTCAGTCTGCGCGAGTGGACCCGGAAAGCACCGAGTTGCCGCAAGCATGTAGCACGTGAATATCCACGTGATTAAAGTCCGCTTGGACAATCAGTCGTTTCCGCTCTAGGGCCAGGAAACCCTAGTGTCAAATTTGGCATGCCAGCTCAACTTTTTGCTGCTCCGCTAGAAGTTATCATCACACCTATTGCCGAGCGGTAACGACAAAAATCGGTGCGTGCATCAACCTTCGAGTAGGAACGATCTCGAAAAATAAAATACCAGTGGGATTATTTCGTTGCTAACTAAAATAGCAATCATGGCTGGAGGCAAACCCCGTGGTCTTAACGCGGCGCGAAAGTTGCGAACGAACCGAAAGGACCAGAAATGGGCCGATCTTCACTACAAGAAGCGTGCCCTAGGGACAGCTTTCAAGTCATCTCCTTTCGGTGGCTCTTCTCACGCGAAGGGAATTGTTCTCGAGAAGGTCGGTGTTGAGGCCAAGCAGCCTAACTCTGCTATCCGAAAGTGTGTCCGTGTGCAATTGATCAAGAACGGCAAGAAGGTCACTGCCTTTGGTATGTTACGCAGTCTGGTCCACTAACTTATTTCCTACACTAATTCACTGTGTCATATAGTGCCCAATGACGGTTGCTTGAACTTTGTGGACGAGAACGATGAAGTCTTGCTTGCTGGTTTCGGTCGTAAGGGCAAGGCAAAGGGTGACATTCCAGGTGTGCGATTCAAGGTCGTAAAAGTCTCTGGCGTTGGTCTTTTGGCTCTGTGGAAGGAGAAGAAAGAGAAGCCTCGTTCTTAAAAATGGCAACGGATAGAGGGGGGCGACGCTGACTGGTCAAATTTTCGGCATGAGGAGTCAGATCGGCTTGCTTGCATTGGCATCACAGGTTGGGTTTTGATCACGAGAGACTAGATTCTACAGTTGGAATGGAAGTCTCGTTTTAAAGCATGACAGAAAACTGTCTCTATAAAGTAGAGCCATAAGTGGTTGTTCTACGAGGAGAAATGAAGTATTGTACACACCAGGGGTCCCTAGTATTGACATCGTTCCGGATCCTTTTTATCACCAGTAGACTTCTCTGAAAGTTGGATGAGATAATCTGCTGCTAGGCCCAAGCTAATAGTGCCACCCGTGATCCAGCATCCATTCACGAACCACCACCAACAGTCCTTAACACTTTTAAGGTTGACTTTCCTGATCATAAGTGCCAGAGTGACTGCAGCTCCGCCGCAGCTTCCGATGAAAAAGGCCGGTCCAGCGCCAGCGGCAACGCCAGCGGCGGCAAGAAGAGCGATTTGCGTCGTAGCTAGCCCTGTAAGGATTTGCTTGGTCTGTGAATCGTGCTTCAATGCAATACTTTTAATGCCAGCCTTAGCGTCATCTTTGATGTCCATATGCGCATAGATCATGTCATACAAGACGGTCCAGGCGATGTTGGAGCTGTAGAGGCAGGCGGCGGCAGTTAAAGCTGACCCGTTTGACAACAGGTCTACGCCCAAAGCTGGAAAGCCCATTATCGCGCCCCATGAGAAAGTCAAACCGAGGACAAATTGTGGATAGTAGGTTACTCGTTTAGCCAGGGGGTAACTCGCAACGAACAAAAGACTTGGTATGCCATAGAAAAGACAGGGCGCTGGAAATTGCATCAAGATGCCTAGACCAGCTAGAAGTTGAGCCCCGGTAAACACTAAGCCGTTGAAGGGGGAAATGGCGCGCCGAGCAATTGGTCGAAGTCGAGTTCGGGAAACGTGAGGATCGAGATTTCGATCCCACAGGTCATTGATAGTACATCCTGCTCCGCGCATTATCAGAGCACCAGAGAAGAACAGTATTGAGGTGCCAACGACTGAGCCAACTGAAGGCATCGGTGAGACCATCGGTGCTGCCATCAGTGTTGAAAAAAGGCATGGAAAGAACAAGTAATAGGTGCCTGTTGGTTTGTCAATTCGAATGAGTTCTGCATATGGAACCCATGACGCTGGAATAAGTGAAAGAATCCCAGAATTGGGTGGTTGATATGCTGGAAGTGTCCCATGGTTCTCTAGCTTGGCTTGATGCTCAACAGACGACGATGCTAGATGATGCGTTTGATGATGCTGTCTACCAAGCTGCTGCCTGAGCAAGCCGGTTCGGAGACGTAAACCGACGCCCCCTCTCGCATAGCAAGCTATCTTCTGGCCTGCTGGTGTAAGCCGAAGCCCTCGGGAAAATTTAGACGCCGCTGTAGAGACTCGGTACACGTTTGGCAGCCTCATGGTTCAAGACCTGGGAGTAGTGATGGTCCTTAACGAACATTTGTGGTCCTCGAATTAGTAGCAAATATTTCATTCAAAGCTTTCGGCTTTCAAGGATAGTACTACTAATCATTTTGGTCGACTCGAAACAAAGTGAGCTTTTTCTAGTACTTCGTTCAGTTTTGAAATTAAATAACTTTTGACGTCTGGATACGGCACATATGACATCACGTGACATCCATTTCGAGACTGGTCAAATGTCCGTTGAGTTGGTTGAATGCTGACTACACACATGTGTCGTTGTGGGTCACATTCATTAAGCTGGATGCCCGTTGATCAGTGAATCCTTCGCAAACCAATCCTCGTCGCGTCTGGAGCTTACGACCACTCCAACATAATAACTCACTCGATCCCACACTCATATGTTCATTTACCTCAAGTTGAAAGCAGCGCATGCAAACCCGGCATCCACAAATTCTCTCTCACATCCTCGCCCTCTCATCCTCGCCCTCTCATCGAGGTTACTTGGCTGGTGATCGGCGTCCACAAATTATAGATGTAGAGCCCACAGTGTCTGTATCGCAGAGATGCCAACTTCACTCCATCCACAAGCTAAGTTCGACCCCATTCCTCCAGACCTTGATTTGCACGGTCTGGTAGATCGAACACCGAACTTCAAGTGGGTACAGAGAGTTTCAAGGTCTCAAATACTTAGTCTTGGTCAGCAGGGGTTTGAAAAGCTTATACAAATTCATGTTATCGCTGGAGGGAAACCACTGGTCATTGATGGCTGGGATGCGCTCTTGCCAGAGGAGCTCTTCAACGTCAACTGGCTCGAAAAGACGTATGATAAAAAAGGTAGATTCTTTGTGCATCTTGTCATGATTTCGTACTAATTCCACCTTACCGCAGAGGAAAATGTGCGAGACATAACTGCCGGTACAGATATTCCAATGACAACTGGACATTATCTGAGGTCGATGAAGCAACTGACAAACCAATGGACTCCACAAAACTTCCGGGATGAGCGACGACAAAGACTCTATCTGAAAGACATCGACTGTCCTGTGGAGTGGCGAAATGAATTGCGAACAATTTTGCATCCTAACTTATTTTATCTGAATGACAACGTTACAACGTCAGGTTCATCGAATCCAACACAAAGACTTGGAGGCGATAGTCAACATGGCGAAAACTCCATTGCTCCTGCTGGAGACCTCATGTCAAGCTTACCCGAGGAGATGCGGGCCGAAAACTTGATGTGTTATGTTGGTCACGAAGGCACCTATACACCAGCTCATCGAGAGATGTGTGCTTCTGTTGGACATAATATCATGGTGGAGACTTCAGGTGATAGCCTGGGAGAAAGACCCGGAAGTTCTATCTGGTTCATGACTGAAAGTAAAGATCGTGATGTGGTCCGTGAATACTTTTTGTCGATGTTGGGCCATGACATTGAGATTGAAAAGCATTTTGCACAAATCAACGCTTGGAAGAAGGCCCCTTTCGATGTCTACCTTGTCGATCAGCGTGCTGGCGACTTTATCATCATTCCGCCGCTGGCAGCCCATCAAGTCTGGAACAGAGGCACTCGAACAATGAAAGTGGCCTGGAACCGAACTACCCCTGAGACTCTGCGTTTGGCATTGCGCGAGGCTCTACCAAAAGCGAGACTTGTGTGTCGTGATGAACAATATAAAAACAAGGCGATTATATATTTCACCCTCCACAAATATTACCAGCTCTTGAAAGAAATGGAAAGACAAGAATATATCACCCAGAATAGCTTCATGGGCATTGGAAGAGACATCGTCAGAAATTCACCCCGGGCGAGACAACTTGCTGGAGATTTCAGGACTCTCTTCAGCCTTTTCACAGAAATACTTATCGATGAGGCCTTTGCATATAACGAGAAACAAGTCGAAAAATTGGACTTTGACTCATGCGTCACTTGCTCATACTGCCGCTGCAATATATTCAATCGCTTCCTCACCTGCAAAAATTGCACAAGGACCCTTATTAATGGAGATGAAGATGCATACGATATATGTATGGAATGTTACGCCATGGGAAGGTCCTGTGCTTGCTTATCTGGTCTTCAATGGTGTGAACAATGGTCTTGGTCTGAGCTTAGCGGCAAATATGAGCTGTGGCGTGAGATGGTCATTATCAATGATGGTTTTGTTGATCTGCATAGCTCACCCCCTCCTTTTGAGGCGGCTCGACAAAAATCAGCCAAGAAATCAGTGGCACAGATATGTCAGGAGGCCCTCATCAGGCGCCCGTGGAAAGATATCACGAAGCAAGACTTTGGTAAAGTTGCAAGTGATTCTGAGCAAGGAGATGTTGAGGATGGACCCAAGAAGAAAACGAAAAGAAAGCAGAAGAAAGGCGAAGTTCGTCGATGTCACGTATGCTGTCATAAGGACTACAGTTATCGAGTCCATGAATGCTCGAATTCGGAGTGTGCAGAAGCATATTGCTACGGCGTTCTCTATAGAGCTTTCGATATGATGCCGCAAGCAGTTTTGCAAGATGAAACTTGGCAGTGCCCCAAATGCTTGGGCATTTGCAATTGTGGGTATTGTCGTCGGGCAGGAAACACGAACCCGTATACACCCAAGAACACTTCCCTTGGCCATGATACTCGACCAATTGCGGATGACAGGAGTGTTGAAGCCCTGGTTGATTTTCGAGTGCATAATCTGTCATGGCTGAAGGCTGCTGGAGAAGAAAGCCGGAGCAGAGATAGCCGAAGAATGCAAATATTGCGGCAACAAGCTGACCACGCCAAGGCACGAAGCGAACTGGCTGAAGTCGAAAGCGAAAGGGCTCTTCTTGAAGACGCCGATAATTCTCAGGGGACTACGAGTGCCGGCTCAGAGTGTCGCGATTTTGAAAGACAGAGTGCTCATAAGTATCCCACACTTGCATTGGAGTCCGGAAATAACTCACAGCTAAGGACTGATACGGCGGGGCCACCTGTTGCGCACGACGACATATCTCCTTACCCAGATCCGTCTGCAGCTTCAAATTACGGTATCGGGATGGGGTATTATGAGCAGGATGATACACCCGACAAAATCCTCTTCGATCCATATAAAGCCCCCTCTCCTAGTGCCATACACCTCGCCGACCTCGAAGTACCCGATTCCGTCAAGAAGTCTATTCGCGCTGCGAAGAGGAAAGCTAAACGGGAGAATGAGGACCCTGATTTCATAGTCGGGAGATCTAGTCACAAAAGGTCACGGCATACAAATGGTATAGATATATTGGATAATTTAGATCCAGCGCTCTTCAATGTGGAGCCATCGACGGCATCATCAACGTCGCGTCAGAAGCGGCTGTCATCGAGTAACACCATAAGACTCCCAACAGAAAACCATGATGAAAATCCAGAGACACTTTCAACGGAACCCCTTACTGAGACGGTACCAACGGAGCCCACTCTTCGGCATGCAAGACCTCTAGCGTCATATGTGGAAGTTGACGATGTTGACATGGACGAGGTAGAGGAGGGTGAAGTGGTTGGTGAAGGATCTGGTCAAGAGGCCATTTTGGACAATAAGGCTGCGAAAGCGATTGAAGAAGCTCAACATTCAGAAGATCAAGGTAGTGGACTTCAACGGGAGGCGTCGGCAACACCAAAACACTTTGAATCAGCTCAGAGCGAAAAAAGACGCGTACGGCCTCTCCAGGTCAGTTTGAGGTCTGTCGATTCTGTATCAATGACCGACCCAACAAGCCCCAGGCCGGCCATTCGCAGGCGTGGGCGACCAAGAAAATCAATGGTTGTCTCTCTTAAAGAATCGAATACAGCAACAGAGGGTACAGCAGGAGCATTGAGGGATCAGGGTAAATCTCTAGGCGAGGCTCTCCATACCTCTAATGTTAGGTCAAGCAATTACCAGCAGCTGAAAAGCAACTCTTCGATCGGGGCGTCTTTGCAACAACACGAGGAAACATCAGTGCGTGGCGTTGCGAAGGCTGGAATGTCCCAAGAATGTAATCTCAAAGATGTTGGACGTGAACTGCGCTCCAATCCCAGAGGCAGGGAATCACAAACAGACGCCAAGAACTCAGCTTCTCAATTGAAAAATTTGAAGTCTGCAAGTCAGCCGTTCATGTCAATGGCGGAAAGACTGGCTCTCAAAGGCAGGAAGTTTAAGATTGGGAAGCGAAGAGCCGCTGCCAGTCCATTTTTGAAGGATCAGGATGGTGGACCACATGTTTCTGAAACATCAGAGTCTACGATTAGAGATTCGCGTCAGGCCCCGTCGGCGGTGGCTGGTCGCACAGAAGTTAGCTGTCGTCACCAGTCACAAAGTCCGCCTGGTCAACGAACAAGGTCGGCCGCGACGGCATCGCTAACCAATCTCTCGGACGATGAGCAGGAACCTGTTTCCAAGCCATCAGATATCTCCATTACCCAGCAAACAGTTGTTAGATTGACGGATATGGTGTCTAGCGAAGACGAGCGTGGGAGCACCATAGACATGGCGGTACCATCTAGTGATGACAGCGGCGATAGTGACATCCCTGCAAGCGGAATGAACAGCAGAGAACGTGCTTCGGCCGAACCAGGCCATCCGCGGTCCCGGGGGGGCAGAAGGGGAGGAGGAAGAGGAAGAGGAAGAGGAACAGGAAGGCGTAGAGGTCGCCCTCGTGGCTCGGGCCGCGGGACTTTTTCACGACACGCCTGAAGGTTTTATGTCGAGTTGTTGTGGTTGTCCGCCAGTTGAGGGCGAGTTTGTCTGGCAAGGGGTGACTCAATGTATTTGTGTAGCTGGACCGTTGCGCACGGAGACGTGTGTAGGTACATGGTCGGATATCGAAGGGAGTTGGCATCAAATGGAACTGCATGATCAGTATGTACGTCGAGGATCTAGATAAACTTGACATTGTTAATTGCTGGGATACCAGACTCACAATACTGTTTCAAGATGTTACATGGGTTACACCCCAAGTTCCACCAGGAGAACGGTATAATTTGCTATGTGATCAGGGAATTAATCGTTCAAGACCCGTACAATGGCAACGGTAACTCAGTGACATCTGTGGAAAGAACTTGTCAATAAATGTGTACTTTGAAGTCAATGTCGATTGGTGTAGGTTGGCACCTGCACATGCATTTCTCTGGCGTCCACGTGGGAGGGCAACTGGCTCATTCACTCGCTCATGCATATACAGAAAGTACAGCTGTTGGCTGACAGCCTACACGTGTATATTCCACGCGGTCTTGCTAGTTCCAATCCAGATACCGAACTAACTGGGGAATCATCTCCACAATACCACAATACGGAGTCTTAATCTACCATCAAATTCATTGTGGTGATATCCCGCTCTGCTAGGTTCCGCGGCGTCGCAACTGAACTACTACTAGGCACCTAGGCTAGGTACCTAATACTTACATACCTCGAGCTAAAAGGCTACAATTCGATGTTAAATAGCACGAACCCCCGCTTCAGTAGACTTGTCTCACCAGCTGGCAGGAACGAGGAGAAGAAGGAAAAAAAAAAGCTTTTCATTTACTATCATTGATGCCTTTGGCACACAACACGATGGGACGGCATATGCCATCTGCTGGCATCATGATACCTTTGGTGGTGGCAACTTCGGCCCTCCCCGGCACAAGAGCTATTGACACAAGCTGGCACGCTCCCGCAAAAACACAGCTCAACAACCTCACGTCGGCGCTCGATTCCAATGGGGTCTATGATTTTATTTTTAATTCGTCGAATACTCCCGACCACGAGTATGGAGTATACAACTGGTGCAATATGCCACATGTTCGACCAACAGAGTACGTTGTGGCCGACGAGGCATATGAATTACAATATGTTGAATTGGTATGTTCAGGAGCCTACGTGCCTCGTTCTCTACATAACTTTGAGCCATTCCTCCCTCGTTTATTATCTTCTCCTACTTATTTTTGTAGATTCACAGACACCACAAGCGGACGCCGTACGCGTCAAACGCTTTTCCGGTTGAGTCTTACCAGTGGAATTGCGACGATGCACACTTGTTTCTCTACGGCGAACCTTTGCAGGGAAAGCAATCTTCTCCAGTATTTCGGAAAGGGTACATTTCTCGGATGAACCCATTCGTACCACCTGGCTGGATTGGAAGCTGTAACTTTCCTCAAATTACATCTGACGGTCTAAGTGACTCCTGGCAGCACGGTACTGATCTCTACGCCGTGTATCATGATCTCTTGGGGTTCCTTCCATCTAGAAATTCGGACTACAGATCCTCTGTGCGATATCGCGTTACGAATAACGTTATCACAAGCCAGGTTGCTGGCATGGTAATCAGCGGCATGTGGTCGACAAATGATCCATATCCCCTGATTGTTGAAGTATGTTACGTAGCAAGACCACTCACCTCTCCTTAACTATCTCCTCGATTTAATTCACGTCCCATGACTATCCTGCTTCTATTTCCGTTCTCATAACGACACCCTTCCACAATAGCCTACTTGGTCTACCTCCTCACTATGTTGCTGACAAGAGCTGTTGCTATATCCATAGGCCCCAGGAGTCGACAGCTTGGAACCACAATACTCTTGCAACTCAGCCGATACACTCTTCAATAGCATCAAATCCAGCCAGAATCCTGATTGGAAAAAGCATCTAGAGGCGTCCGCAGCGTTGTTCAGTTCCCTCGATGGTATCTCGGGAGTTCCCTCGAGCGATGGCGGATTCCACTCTTCATTCGACCACTACTATGATAACCTCTCCGCTAGACAATGCCATGCTAAACCCTTACCGTGCAAGCTAGTTGATGGCCAGAACAGCACTAGGTGCATCTCACAGAACCTTGCCAATGCGGTCTATCGTATGGGAAACTGGGAATACAGTCAAATATATCGTGATCATCCATCGTCACTCCCCGCAAGTGTGGCGTCCCTCGGAGTCTGGATTGGAGAGCTCACCTCCCATCTGCGTGATGTTATGGGTGGATCGAGTGACATACGCTACTTTCACAACATAGCTCATGACGGATCATTGTCTCGTCTACTCTCCGTCTTGCAGATCGATGAAATGGTGTGGCCCGGAATGGGCGCAGAAGTAGTCTTTGAGCTGTACAAGCGAAAGGACCATGGATCAAACCCTAGCCCAACAGCGTCCGTGGTCGCACCTGGTTGTCACAATGACAACTGCTTTCGGTATATGCTTCAGCATTTTGCATCAGCAAGTATACTTTGTCAAAATGTCACTAGTTCGACAAGTGGCTCTCTAACTGCTACACACTCGTTGCTTGCAGAATGCTCTGGTCAATCTCGACTTGCGTCAGCCTGCTCCTGTATATCCAGCACGACAATAACGACGGCTCCAGCTCCTTCGCAAACTCCCTTGTCTAGTCCATCCCGACACTACGTTCGAGTGTTATTTGGCGGCAGGATTCTTCAATCTTCCAACCCTAACTTAGGCCGCATGGATATGCTGCCGGTCGAAGTTCTATTAGACTATCTTGAAGGTTTAGTTGGAAAGGAGGGGGGGCTTGTGAAGTCCAAGTGTCAAAACTAAGTCCATCCCACAGTGGGTTTATGTCTTGCTAATGCAACTCATGATGCTCACTACATTTCGAGTCGATACAGTCAAGGCTGTGGGGAGATGCGCCTTGTTCTGCAAAGACTGTATACCCTTAGGTCTTCGCCTTAGCCAGTCGTGCAATGCATGTACTCCCCTCCAAATACTCTCAGTGTCTTTAGCAATCCGTATCGAACTTACTCAATGACTGGGAACAGGGCTCATCAAAGTAGAAAGCGTCTTGCCGCCTCCTGAAGTATCTTGGTGTAGAGGTATACTCAACTAGGGCTTCATAAATCTACTTTACATCTGGATGTCCTCGAAGAAGTTTGTGTCGATGAAGCTAACATGGTTATTCAACTATATTGAGCGATCTCCCACTGGCATTTCGCTGACGATTGGCCCGTTACCACTAGGTTTGGCCGACACAATAGATGAGGTCGCGATGATAGTGACATTTCGGTCGATGCTCAAGCCTCAACCTTCCAACTGCGAACAGTCTCACCCTCTGTCAATGGTTTCAGATGAGCCGAGAGCCTCTTTATGTGCGACCTGAAATGTACGGACTGTAAAACTCACTTTCGAGAATTTCGTCGCAACACCAAGTACATCTATCTTCGTTTTATTCCAACAATAAGCGAGAATTCAACTGGCTCTGTCTGTGCCAGGTAAAAAATTGAATTGACATTGCAGATGATATCGGTTGGGTAATTGCATTAGACCTTCAGCAATGCTCCTGCTAGAGAGAGCCGGGGCCTCTAGGAGTAATAGGCATGAAGTTACCAGGGTAAACTACGCGCCTGTTGAGCTACCCTTTTCGTTCATGTACAACTGGGAAAAGTCACACCTTGGGTAACGTTGCAAGGAAACTCCAAGAAATGACCATAGCAAGAGACTTCCATCGATCTGGAGGGGTGGGGTTTGCCTGGATGGCGGCGCTGATGGCTACGCAGGTGGTCCTCAACACACCAGACCAGATGGTACTCCGTACTAGGTAGTTGAGGCCGACAAGCTGCGGGTCGTAGTGATACCCCACTGATGGGTGACTTCGGACGAAGAAGGCCTCCCAGAGCCACGTTCCACAAGCCAACAACCACATGACGGATGGGTATGTAACTACGGAGTTGAGGATGATGTCACGAGTTGTGCTATTTGTGCGGCAGAAAATCGCTTTTCATGCCACACCCTGCTATTTCATAGTACTAAGTTACATATTGGCCTGGAAGCATAGTGATTATTACTAAAATTAGTCAGCAGCCGCCAGGGCGGCCAGTTTTACAACAACAACAACTACTACTACTACTACTACTACTACACAGCATCATTGAGTCATGCAATTTTGCCGGCGATAATAGCAGTCAAACAAATTCACAGGCCTTAATCAAGCTCTCAAAGTAATCGCGGACGAGTAGATCTGAGTATCTAGCGCACAGAAACGCAACCTGAGCGAGCTACTTAAACGATTCGCGACGCAATGATGGAGATGACCTCGCGATACGGTCGCGGCAGCGGTCAGAAAATGATATCAATCACACACAAAATTGACTAATAGGTAGTGTGATGGCCTGGGCTAAGTCCGACCTCGCCTGTTGACATTGGCTATATAGTGTTAATTGAACGAGTCTTGGGCGACTTATCCAATTCGTACCCATTTGCCGCCGTTGGCAGAGGGGTCGGCATTGTGCTGATACCCATGATGGCCTTGGAGGGCTAGTCCTTGATAGGTAGACAGACAGCCCACAGAGCAAGCAGCGGCAGAGAGGTCGCCGGAAATTTAGGAAACTATTCCCTCAGGGGACAGTTAGTTTACGTTTTATTAATTGTATTGCTATTCTCCAAACAATCACTCATAATGAAGCAGCAGAAGAGACCCACCGGCAGCATGAGAAATGGTGGTTGGTTGAGTATTGTATGCTGCATTTTCTTGGCTACTTGCCACATTTAGTAAAGAGACAAGAAACAAATATCAACTAAGCTGGTAGGCCTCGAAAGCACACATTGGGAACATGCCACTTCCTCTGGCAGTGGCATCCAAAATCGACCCTTTACATCCTTTGAGTGTAACAGAGAGAGGAGAGATGAGACAAATTCTGGGACTTGAGTAATCCAGTAGCCGTTTCCTGGCTGTATAATTAGTACATACTTAAGTAGGCACTAGTCACTGCCTCATCCAGGGGGGGTTTGGCACATGAAAGAAAGGTCTGGCCGGAAGCGGAAGGAGCACGCAGAAAGCAGATGGCCTTTGAGCACACAGATCTGCCATGTCCTAGCTCATGGTGTTCATGCGGCGGTTTTCTGGCTACTGAAGGACTGTCAACCGGGTTCAAGGTTCTACAGAGGGCCAGACAGGTTCCAGGCCAGGTCTGTAGTTGAAAGTTGTAGGTTGTCGCCCGAGGGGGGGGGTTCAGATGGGGGCCAAAGGTTGTACATGTACTACTTAAGGTTGTAAGATTAGGTGGTGGCACGCGGGAGGGTTGGGTGATTTCGATGCAAGGTTCAATTTGTCTCGTGCTTCTCAGAGCCCCCAACTACCAAGGTAGGTATCGACTGGTCACCAGACCAGACATACCCAGTAATTGAGTGGGCGCTTTCGGATGTTATCTACCTGCCTAGACACTTGGCTACTTGAATGATACAAAGGCTCTGGAGATGTCGGAATTAAGCGCTTGATTACTCCGTACTCCAAACATCATCTCATTATGTCGTACTCCGTCCCTAATAAAAGGGGTGCGCGGCTCCACTACCTGCTAGATCCGGAGTACCCAGAGATACAGTCAGTTCCACACCTTGTATACAGCCTTGTCCACAAGCTATTATATCTGCAGCCAAGACTTCAAGGTTCCATCACTCATCCATTAATATGGGCGAATGGCCGTTCTGGCCAACAGCAGCAGGACGCCGTGATAGCTCCTTCCCATCTCAGATACACAAATGAACCCAGGGCGGGGGCCATTGGCGCCGCATCCGGAGCGAGACTTTGAATCTTCTTCAACGAGCCCATGTTCCGTACCTGCACGTGCAGGCTTCAGGCTTCATGTGTGGGCTGTGCATTTTCTGGACAGCTTCACAACCCGCCCTGCAACCTTCCCCACCATCTTTTTCGTCCCATGTGAAGGTTTTGCACACATGCATGGAGCACGGAGCCGTTGGTTACGGGGGTGTCGTACTTACTTGACATCTCATGAGTCGTCCTGTTCTTCGCCAAAACGTGGCAAGGTGGAGCGCTCGCTGCGATGCTCCCAGTTGCAAATGGCTGTAGGGAAATGAGAGGACCGTCCTCTTATGGACGGCACCAACTACTCAGGTAGCCACGAATGAGCTAGCTGTGATCAATTGGTGTTTATTTTTCAATTGAGCGCATCAGCAACGTTGCCTACATGAACGATGAGTACCGTCTCAGCACAGAGCCGGGCAACCAGCCAGGTATTAGGTCTCCTATCCCAGTCGAGACTATCACAAGATCAAGATTGCCGAGAAACCAGTGGTATGCTTAGGAAATGGATGAGTGGCATGTTCCCACCACTCTCTGACCTGCCTAATGGTCTTCCATGGTAGATGAGACGGTCAGTCTTTCTTCGGCTCAACCTTGCCGCCCATGTAGAAAATTTTCTCATCAACTACGGAATACTTACGAAGCCAACATCGTCGCTACTTTGTATAAATAGGGGCCACATTCCTTCGAGTTGGTTCTACGGACGACACGCTACCACTAAATCACTCCTTACATACCCCCCCCTTCTGCCCGGCCCTGGTGGCTCTTTCGTCAACTCGACAAGCACTTCTATACAAATTACAGTACAGCTATAACTCGGGTCAACGACATGCCATCGTTATTTGCTCAGTCACTGGCAATCATCGCCACTCTGCAGGCCACTCTCGGTCTTGCCACTCCTGTATCAGCCCCTGATACTGTCATCGGAAAACGTGCCGGTGGTTACGTCAACGCCGTCTACTTCACCAATTGGTAATTTCTTCCCGGTTCATCCTGTAGCTATCTTTACCCATCCGTCATTTATTCCACTGAGCAGTCACGCATGCTTATGGCCGGATGCTAACCAGTAGACAGGGGAATATACGGTCGAAACTATCAGCCAGCCGACCTTCCCGCTTCTCAGATATCCCATGTTCTGTACTCGTTCTTGAACCTTTCGGCTAACGGCACCGTGTAAGTGCAAACTTAATAAAATGTAGACATTCTAATTCGTCTTGAGATCAGGCTGGCTGACCCCCTGCAGTTACTCTGGAGATACTTGGGCTGATATAGACAAGCACTACCCAAATGACTGTAAGTTTCTCCGATGTAGGGGCTAATAATCCATGCTCACGTGGCTTGATAATGAATTGTATGGCTAATTTTGAAGTTCAAAAGCTTGGAATGATGTCGGTAACAATGTCTATGGCTGTGCCAAGCAATTATTTCTCCTCAAGAAAGCGAACCGTAAGATGAAGACGATGCTGTCTATTGGGGGGTGGACGTGGTCAACGAACTTCCCAGCTGCGGCCTCGACAGCAGCCACTCGAAGCAACTTTGCTAAATCAGCGGTCACTATTATGAAAGACTGGGGCTTTGATGGTATTGACGTTGATTGGGAATATCCTGCCGACGATACTCAGGCCACAAACATGGTTCTTCTTCTTCAAGCCGTTCGGGATGAGCTCGACGCATACGCCGCAAAGTTTGCGCCTGGCTACCATTTTCAGCTATCGATTGCCGCTCCGGCTGGCGCTACCAACTATAATAAGTTGCACCTTGCCGACCTCGGAAAGGTGTTGGATTATATCAATTTGATGGCCTATGACTTTTCCGGTTCATGGAGCAACTCCAGCGCTCATAACGCAAATCTTTACGCCAATCCGAGCAACCTTAATGCCACACCATTCAACACGGATGATGCTGTCAATGACTATATCAAAGGCGGTGTTCCGGCCAGCAAGATCGTTCTTGGCATGCCAATTTATGGAAAATCATTCCAGAAGACCAATGGAATTGGAAAGCCATTTTCGGGTATTGGTGACGGCAGCTGGGAGAATGGGGTCTGGGACTACAAGGTTCTTCCCAAAGCCGGCGCGAGGGTCATATATGATGACGTGGCAAAGGGTTACTACAGCTACGATAACCGCACCCAAGAACTTATTTCCTATGATACCCCAGATATTACCAAGGAGAAGGTCACCTACCTCAAGAGCAAGGGATTGGGAGGCAGCATGTTTTGGGAGGCATCTGCTGACCGCAAAGGCCCTGACTCACTTATTGGTACTAGTAGCAACAAACTTGGAGGACCGGACGCCACTGAGAATTTACTCAACTACCCTGACTCCAAATATGACAATATGAGGAAACAGATGGCTTAATTCTAGCTAGCTTTTAGCTCATAAGCTGGCTCAGCACCGGAAGCAATTTCTAAGGTCAGTTTTATGCCGAGTTGTGTGTGATAAGTCATAACCGTCGACCCTGGGCCATAGGCTCTCGTCTCTCTCTTTATGTTTGCCCACCGCACTGGCGATATTTTCAGTGTCATATACCATCACCGCGGGTTCATCTTGCATCCGTCTCTTTTGGCCAGTAGGATCATAAACGTTGGGCATGAGTCGTGCCGAGTTTGGTTGGGGTGGTGCCTGCTGAATTCGTCGTACATATACTGCCTTTCATACGCGTAAATAATCATCCGTCTTAGCTACCTCAGTAGGCTGTGTAAATTGATACTTGGCAGTTTCCAAGATGGTGTTTTACTCAATCTATTTTGACTTTCATACATATTGGTCCTGCAGATAGCCGTGGCTCTACTTCCCATCACTTGCTGAACAAGGTTACAAGGTTCTCAGCGCTCTACCTCCCCGAAGCCTGTTTAGATTTTGCTTGCGACCGAAAGTCTTGACCCGTATGGTGCAACATATTTGAGCTCCTCATCAAGATGTCGATGCTCCTAGTGACTATCCTCTAGGAGGATTGCGAGTGACGGAATTCGGCCATACTTTACTGCGCTCGATTATTCAGCCCTAGAAACAATTGGATATTTTCTGTCTTTTCCAACAATCCACATACTTGGGCATCGAAGTATCAACTGGTCTCTAAGCAATTGCCTACCTAGGTACCTAGGTAGGCAGGCAGCACCATACTTCAACACGTGCAAGGTCCTGCTCAAACTGGCAAGACCGATCAGCAACTTGGCCAGACGCCATATTAAAGCAGGTAGCTTTCAGCCTGTGAAAATGAATTGTTTTTAGGCCTACGTCACTCTTCTCACAGTACTCTCTCTCCTCTCCTACTGCAACGCAATTATTTATTTTTACCTGTATCCAGTAAAAGTCTTTGTATGCTCGTTGTACATTTGAGAGTTGTGATATCCGCACTTGTACACCTTAGCTGTTCAGAGTGCCAAGCCTGGTCAATTGCATTGTGCTGGTTTGACTCGATATCAGGACAATCTAGTCAGCATATCACGTTCTCCATTGGTGATACATCGAGAACGCCTGTTTTGTCTCTCTACTCGACAGTATAGACTCAAGTTGTGGCGAGCCAGCTTGTTGCTTCGAACCGCTACCTCAAGACCATCGCCAGAAATGCAACCAAGCCAGAACGACCCACTGGATGCGCGTTACCGATCCATGAATGCAGATAATACAAGCAGTTTGAACTTCTCCTCAAGTGAGGCCTTTGGAGAGATTAACACCAACTTATCGCTGAGCAGCAGCATCTCTAGTATCGTCGGCACCCCATCTAGTTCATTATTTAGACTGGACGGCAGGGAACTCCTGCCTGCTCTGCGTGGCTCTCAGCATCGGAATCGACACGGTAGAGTTAAATATTAGGCGCGATAATGCTTCATGTAGCACTAACTTTGAGGGTAGAAGCTTTATTCAGGGCAAGCGAAACTGCCCACAGCAACGCTTCGCATACCGCCTTGCACAAACATTCCTTGGCGCTCAAATGGTCCCCAGCTATTAAACAGGATGACAGGGAAATAGGATGCAAAGTTTTTAGAAGAACATTTTTCAACTCTGGAGCAATGTTTGCAAGATTCGACCGATTTGTTCCGATCAGAAACTATTCGACTCCTTGTTCAGAACGATACCGAACCAATAAAGAGCCAGACAAGCTGTCTCGGACAGAGAGGGCAATGAGAGCTGGCGTTTGTCCGGTGTTTAGAAGCTTTCCTCTACAACAAACACTGTCAATAATGTATTCACTGTTTAGCTTTCGGCCATGTCCAGATATCGGCACCAGTAATCGAACAGGTAGGGTTACAACAGCCCTGTCTCTCGGATATGTGAAGGGGCTGAACATCTTCAATCAAGGAAACTTCCAACGGGGCTTGCCTTTATTTGGACATGGTCTCACATCACCACCCGATCTCTGGCCTTATTCACAAATTGTATCCGAGTCAAGTACCGAGGGTAGCCTAGTTCACAGTCCAACAAATGCTCATGCACAGTCTCTCAAGCGACTGTTCGCGGGAAGACAGCAGAAATCCGAACCCGAAAGAGTTCGAAACAGTCTCGGTATTGCCCTCAACATTAATTTCTTCCGCAAAATCCTAGATTTCAATTTGGAGCCTTCAAGTGCTTCGTCCACAATCCCGTTGGGTGATTCAGTAATGGGCATAATCTCTAGTAGATCGAAAGAAGTCACGCTTCCTAGGAGCTCTAGCGTTCTCATCTCCCGTATACTCTAAGTTTTTGTTAAAATTCTATTGTTTTGAGCTAACGTGCATTTAGTCAATGCCCCGCGAGGCAGCACAAGATCTCTTCCCGTAGCACCATTCAAGTACTAGCGCCCTGCCATCGTGACTTGTGACTTTCGGCTTGGCTAATCTGGTTTCTAGAGTTCTAGATGCTCCGAGTTTGCGAGATGACTTTTACTGCTCAGTTCTTGCGTATTCATTCAGTTGTCAAACCCTTGCTATAGGTCTGGGTAACATCGTATATACGTGGTCCGATAAGGGAGGAGTTCGTTCCGTCAATGGCTCCCAGCAAGATGGGACGTGGCTCACATCGATATCATTCTCTTCCGTTGAAGGCAACAAGAATTTATTTGCAGCTGGAAGATCAGACGGAACATTCATCGTGATGTCACTCCTGGAAACAGCTCCTCGGTTTGAAATACAACAATCATGTTCAGTCGCTTGTCTCAGTTGGCGCCCATGTTCGACATTGCGATTTTCTAGCAATCCTCTCAACCCAAATACTCTGGTAACAACAGAAGACCTTGTTGTGGGAGATGAATGCGGAGACTTGTATTATTACTTAGTTGAGTGGCCAGTGGCATCAGAAAACACAAGGGATAATTGGCCTGGTTCGATATCCCTGGTAACCCGAATTTCGATACACAGCCAGCAGATTTGCGGTCTAGCATGGTCACCAAATGGAGCTTTGTTCGCATCGGGGGCCAATGATAACCTGTGTTGTCTTCTTAAGGTGAACGAAATCCTAGCGCCTCAACATCTTGGTTTGCACCCAGATGATCCCGACGCGTACAGTCCGTACCCTAACAGCAATTTCGACACTTTGATCCAGATGCAGATGACTCCGAGCGTCTCGCAAGCCTCTCTTGGCTGGCAAAATGGTGGAGGGTCTTTTCCCACAGTTGACGGAGGATCCCCTGGAATGACTATAACCCCACAAACGAATGTTCGAAACCTTCTTTCCGGATGTCAGAGTCAGGTTTGGACTCATCAGGCAGCTGTTAAGGCTATTGCATTCTGTCCATGGCTTCAGGGACTTGTGGCCACAGGCGGCGGCTCGAATGACAAGTGCATACACTTCTTCCACACAGTTTCTGGATCATCGCTTGCCACCATTTCCGTCGCGGCCCAGGTCACATCTCTGATTTGGTCAAATACAAAACGAGAAATAGCCGCCACATTCGGTTATACTCATCCGGAGCACCCATACAGGATTGCTGTGTTTAGCTGGCCTGACTGTTCGCAAATTGCAGCCATCCCTTGGGAGGATGATTTACGCGCCCTCCATGCCGTTTCCTACCCTTGTATTCTAAAAGCATCGAAAGCACCCAATAGAAAGCCGAGCGCTGTTAATGAGTGTATCGTCGTGGCGTCGAGCGATAAAACCGTTAAGTTTCATGAAGTCTGGTCAACGGAAGGAAGTAGAGCAGTGACCAGGTCTGGGATGTTTGGTGGCAGTGATATTCTCGAGGATTTGCAAGGAATCATAAAGGAGGGGGATGTGATTCGTTGACACTCTCAAGTTGCGCTCTAGCTTTGTGCTGTGTAGTCTTAACCGTGTCCGGATTTTGAGGGAAGTAGCGAAAGACCGGAGAAGTGGTGCAATAAAGGTAATATGTATCCCGGAACTAAGTAATGTAAACTAACAGCCGGTGTTGAATTGCAGCTATATCTGGCCACGGGTAGGACTATGGAGACTACATAACAAAACAAAAAGGGGGAAGGGAGGGGGGAGCGGCAGACAACGGAACGACGCACAATACAACGAACTCGAACTCAAAACCAACGAACATAATCCACCCAAACACCACACAATACAGGCTGAGAGCTTGTTCTTAGCAAGTAGCAAGCAGCAGAGTCGGACCGGCCAGTCTCTATTTCAAAATCGCAATTAATAATATCAAGATGATAATGAGCACAACTATGGCAGTCATCTGCTTATTTTCTCCAGCTCCCTTCGCTACTTTTCCTAGTGCGCCTTTAGCTCGGTCTAAACGACCTTGATAACGGTCAACAGTGGTGTCCATTTCATCCAATATTGCCACATGGCTGTCCAATTCGTCTCCGATTTGAATACTGATATCTCTTTGACGACCGATCGACTCTCCCAAGCGGTCGAGTTGTTCATCTTGTTCTTCTAGAATCTGCGAATGATACTGATGCAACTGTTGATTTGTCATTTCTGCAGCTAGGTCGCGATATCCGGCCGAATCCGTCGCTGGGTCGTCTCGGTACGGTCCTATCGGCTCTTCTGTTGGCGCCACTGGGGAATCACTGAAGCGGACGGTTTTTGCTCTTCGAGAAGATGCATGGGAAAAGTCTTCTGCTAACTCATTCGAGTTTGGCACGGTGAGAGTGTGTTCTATGGAAGCGCTGGTAAAGCCGTGGAACTGAGCTGTCAAGTCCTCTAGCTGCCGACGCAGAGCTGCTAGAGAGTCCGCCGACCTGGTGAGACACAATAACTGCGTTAGCATAGAGGACAACTTTCCCTACCTACCCGGGGCGTTGGTATCTTACTCAGTATCCCTTTCTTGCTCATGTCGAGACTGCTCTTGTTCAAGAGACGCGAGACCTGAACGGAACTGATCCAGCGACCGGGATATATGTCCATCTTGACTGTCACTATCTAAATTAAGACTGGTCGCACGCTGGCGCTCTAAGAGTGAAAGCTTGATGTGGTCCGCCAACAAGAATAACTGGCTGAGTTTAGTCATGGCGGTGGTATCAAGAGGAAGAGTGTCCAGCAGCCAAAGTTGAATAGAACGTCGCGTATGGCCTGGTCTAGTACAGCCGACGTCAAGTCGTCGTGCGTAAGATGATGACCGAGGGTATCGAGATAGGCTCCTCGTGGACTCGATTTCCAGTCGCGAAGTATACAATAAAGACCTATGCGTTACAGAACAACAATGAATTGAAAGAGGCTCTATGGAGTTGACCAGATCGTCATCATGGGGAGTGTATGCTTGAGTGAGCAACCTAGACTGAGGAGGGTCTTATGGGTCAGGAGGGTGGCACCACCAACCGAAGTGTCCCAACCGTAGCTGGCCTAAATCGAAGCTCCCCATCTAAACTACCTTAGCGCGCTAAGAGGTTTTCTCGTGATTATCTTTTAGCTATTAGTTATAATAAGATAATTAATTAGAATTTTTTACTTAATATATTAAACTTTTAGTAAATAATAATAATTTAAGACTTATCTTATAGTAATTATACTATTACTAAAAATAAAGGCCGCTCACGTAGGTACCTATCTAGGTACATGCATACGTAGTTTGCTTAGATAAAATTACCGACAAATCTTCCTAGTCTCTAGGATTACTAGATTTGGAGGCTGTTGATCGGCGTGATAACAAGCCCATCAATGCGCTCTGCTCCTAATGTAAGGTGGTTGGGGAACCCCGCCCACCTGCAACGCGATTGACAACGTCACGTGGAACGGGGGCTTCGGGACCATATCCCCTGCATCTCGCACAACTAGAAAATAGGATAAGCTTTAGTTATTACAATACAGCTACCCCTACTTTGGCTACCTGACTTCCAGTCCCTCTTACACCTAAGTTGAAAGTCCTAACGTAGGTAGTTGAAAGAAAGGTAGGTTTTAGAGAGGCACACTGGTAGGGGTTATTTGATTGAATTATTTACCGATTTAGCCGATGCTGGAATTAAACCTGGCTCTATCCCCTAAAAGCAGCGAAGACTACAATTATGTAGCTGCGGGGATAATGCATGGCCCCGCAGAGTATTAAAGCTAATTGGTTATAATATTAGCTAATTTATATATTTATAATTAAAATTCAACTATTTTATTAGATTTATTATTAAATATTTAAGCTTTTTTAAAAAATGAAAATATAGTTTTCTTGTTAATGCTCTGGCTGTGATAAGTGTGATATAGCTCTTTATAACTCGGGAAATTTCTAGGACTTTTATTATTATACTATTTCTTAGTAGAATAATGTGCCTTATATTTCTAGATTTCTGATTGGCCAGGACCCGAATTCGGTACCACCAACGCACCTCCGCACATTCAAAGGGATGAGTTGACCGCGCCCCGAGTACCTCAGACAAAAGGGAGCAAACGGCAGGTGCCACTTTGACCCACAGTCACGCTAGCACCTAGGTGACTAAGCCAAGCCCTTATAGCTTTCAAGCTGAGGAGATCAGCCAACCACAGTACTTTGTCGGTACTCGCTAAGCACGCCTATTCATATTGTTATATCAGGTACTCCGTACTGCCAAGTGAAGTCCAGACCATCATCCACAAACAAGCAGCTGAGGTCTGGCGACCCGGTCTGCCATGGCTTTTCACTGGCTGGTTAGGATTGCACATTCCCAAGTTCTTTTAACGAGCCCCAGTTGCAAGGCAGCGTTGCGCAGTAACCTCCCTCCTGCATCCTCATCAAGGCCAATTGTCTGTACACCCAACCACCAGCTCTTACGCGCCCATTGTGTACAACTTTAGCCAGTCAAAGAAACTACATGACGTTTCTATTTTTTTAGCAGATTCTTTGCACTGTCTAATCGAATATTGGGCAATTTAATTGCCTTGGAATTCTTCAGCGGCGTCCATCCTCCTGCCGTCGACACACCCTTCTGCCTGTCCTTTGGTTTTCAAACTACTTGGCCTACACACCAGAATCCGAACTACGCGCCTCAGCTAATATCAAGCTATTTTTGCGGTTTGTTCAAACATTTTGCCTACTGATATTAACGTTAGCAGCTCCAGCTTCGCCAAGTCCACGTCATCTTGCCTAACACTTCACCAATTATGGCCAATTTTGCCCGACAATACTCAACCGCCTCCCCAGTGCTTGCAATCCCTCCACAGCCGTACTATCAAACACAGCTCTCTGCAGGCACCTTTGGGCGATATCATCCGCTGCCAATGTCATTCAACACTGCACCGTCAAACCTAACCCCCCCGGTACGATTCACGGGACGGAAACGCTCTCGTGACGAGGCATCGATGAACCTAGAACCGGATTCTCAAGACGTAGTAACCCGGGGTTCTCAGGGAGATAGGACATACGGCGAAGGAATGATTTCGATAAAGCCTGACAAAGGCGTTGTCACGGATGCTTCTAACCAATCCGACACGTGGTCGAAAGATGAGAATGCTCAAGAACACCCAGCGAGATGCCGAAACGAAGCTGCCCAACATAAAATGCGGAGCCACAAGTCACAGCGTCTAGATTATGATCTATGCCAGGCATCACTGCAAAGAACTACCATCTCACCAACGTCCTTGAATTCTTGCCATCAAAGATCTGGTGGCGACGACACCTTGAGAATCGACAACTTTACCGTTTACCTTGGTATTGGCTGGAGAAAATTGAGTAGTGAAGAACATATCCAAGCTGCTGCCCGGGGCTGGGCCAGGTTTATCGAAAACAACTTTGCATTATCGAAAGTCAGTATTTGCTTAGAGAGCAAAGGCCTTCAATCCTATCTCGTCGAAGCATCCGATGGCTACTACCTTTTCACCGAGAATCTGCGTCAGGGCCGGTTGGTTAGCCGAACGGCTGAAGGAGCACTCCAAAACTTACAGCTATCCCCACCGAGCTTCGAGGGCCCAGAGCTTAGTCTCATGGCAGGAGGCGACCGACAGAGTAATGTCGTCCCAGATTCGGCGATGGTAATGGATTAACGACGAGAGTTACCCCTTGTGGCCCGGATATTAGCATGACTCGTTTTCCAGCGAAATCGTCGCAATAAATTTTACGAGATGTATTTTTAGCCTAAACAAGATTCACCTTTGTATACATGCAAGAACTGCTAGACGAGAACACTTGAAATCCTAAGAGACCTCGGCATTAGGTGTTGAGTCACAACCCTTGAAAACTAACCGAATCATCGCACGTCGAAAGATACAGGTGCTTGGGAATCCAGGACGCAGTAGCAAGGATCTCTTGATGTGGCTTTTCTGTAATGCGTCACCTTTGCCATACGTCAGTCCATTCGCTTCATGTAGAAAGCGTGCATGGTGGGTGTTTTACGCTGTGCATACATTCGAGACATAGCTAAGAAGAGCCGGTAGCATCTCCTGCAACGAAAGCCATGGGTTCTTCAAGAGATTGATCCTAGGGTGCAGTGAACTCTCCGTCGTGGATTTTCTTTAATACTGCCATGGTAGGTAGTCACACAACGCGACAATGTGATTCGCAGAGGGGTTGCCGGGTGCGACTGGGTCGCCGTGCACCAGCCTCATTAGGTAAGGCAACACTCCGACGCTCGAAGTACTGCAGACACACGTCACCAAGACCCGTCACCAGATTCCCTTCAACACACCTGGTAAGCGTCCTCGTTTAATTTAAGAGGACCAGCCTAGAGGCTCTGGCACAACTCACCATGAATGGAGACCTAAGTCTCTCTCGGGCTCTTGGCGGACTGCGAATAGCCAACCCCGATGAGGCCAGCAATGGTGCACTCCCTGACTCTGGCCCAAACGCTCACGAACCAAATTTGAGAACCTCGAGCACGAACACGGCCGATCATGATACCGATACAATGCAGACAGTACCGGAAGAGTATAGTCGTCTCAAGCAAAAAGAACAAGCCATCGAGGTTGGACGACCAAGCTCTAGCATTTCCACTCCCTTCCTTGGTGTGGATGACCCCTCAGCAGGTGCTTCAGCCCGAGATGCTAGTCTGCTAGACAACCAACGTATCACCCCACCGATACAAAAAGAACAGACACAAATCTTATCTGGACACGGAGTCCCGATGCGCGAAAGCTCAAGGAGTTTGGGGAATCTCTTTTCCACCTCGCCCAGCTCTGGGTTAAGCCGAGTAGCAACAGATCAAGTATCATCGAATCAATCCAGCGAGGACTGGAAGGATCGGGGCGCAGCTGTCGGTATTCGCCGTGAAGTGGACAGCACCGGCCGCATGATAGTCCGACAAATCAAAAAGGGCGTTCGCGACTTTTCCTTCGGCCGCATTTTGGGGGAGGGCTCGTACAGCACAGTATACTTGGCCACCGACCGGCAGACTCTGAAAGAATATGCCATCAAAGTCCTTGAAAAGAGGCATATAATCAAGGAGAAGAAGATCAAATACGTGAATATTGAAAAGAATACCCTCAACCGTCTGACGGAGCATCCCGGAATCGTGCGGCTCTATTACACATTTCAAGACGAAACCTCGCTATACTATGTACTTGATCTGTGCAATGGCGGAGAACTGCTAGGGGTATTGAAAAAGACTGGAACGTTTGACGTGGATTGCGTCAGGTTTTATGGAGCACAAATACTGGACGCGATCGATTATATGCATTCTCGGGGGGTGATTCATCGCGATCTGAAGCCTGAGAACGTGTTGTTGGATGACCAGATGCATGTCAAGATCACCGATTTCGGCACTGCAAAGCTTCTTAGCGATCCTCAGGAAAGCAAAGACACGGGCTCTGTTAATCGCAGCGAGATACAAGGTCGGCCGCTACGAGATGTCGAAGAAGACCGCCGTGCTGCATCCTTTGTCGGCACGGCAGAGTACGTTAGCCCTGAGCTACTTACACATAAAAGCGCAGGGAAGGCTAGCGATCTATGGGCTTTTGGATGCATCATATACCAACTATTTGCAGGCAGGCCGCCGTTCAAGGCAGGCAGCGAGTATCTTACTTTCCAGAAGATTGTTAACCTTGAGTACGACTTTCCACCGGGGTTTCCAATTCCAGCGCGTGATCTTGTTGAGCGGTGCTTAGTCTTGGATCCGGCGAGAAGATTGACGATAGAGCATATTAAAAACCATGAGTTTTTTGATGGACAGCAGTTTGGAAAAGGTTTATGGCGAACAAAAGCGCCGAGGCTACGACCGTATGTCCCGCCCGCTCAGGAGCCAAATATCATTCAATTAAATGGCTTCTCTGGTGCTGGCCCATCAAACAGCAATGCATCCCTTCCTAGATCGATGCCACATTCACAAACTGCAACCACGGGTGGAGGGAATCGTCCGGCTAGAATTATTACAGAGCTTCCTCCGCCTACACAACTTGACATAGAATGGTCACCGGTGTTAACAAAGAACAATGAGCGAATATTGAAATTAGGAGATCTAATGGTCGTTTCCTCACCACTTCCAAATAGTATACATCGCAAAGGATCCGATGAGGGACATAAGAAACTATCACGTTTCTTTGGAGGCAGTACAACCAAAAAGAGGCAGCGTCTTGTGATGGTGACCTCAAGCGGTCGCATTGTGTTAGCTCCTGCAGGGGGCGAGGAGAAGAGGGCAAAGCAAGAACTATCACTGCTCGCTTCGGACTCATCCTGGAGAACACAACGGGACGCAAAGGGGCAACTTGTATGGTGTGTTGATACAGTGAGTTTTTTCATTCCTCTACTGCCTCTTCCGTTATTAACACGTCTCGTAGGCCGGCTACCACTACACATTTGAAGAAAGCAAACCCGCTATAAACAGCGACGAAGAGCGACCGTCAGCGCAGGAGTGGGTCGAGTGCCTCGAAAAAGCAAAAGATATGGCTTTGTCCCAAAGTGCAAATGCGCAACGCGACGATGGCCCATTCGGAGACATATCCTCGGCTGTATCTAGCCCGTCTAGCACCTTGGGTAGTAGAGCTCAGCATCCGGATAGTCATACTGCTCATGACCGAGGCGGGCGTAATCATTTAAGTAAAAGCCAACCTAGCCACGACGATTTCACACCGAAACGAAACCGATTCAGCAAACGACAGTCTCGAAACGGATTGGGGTCGGCATTTTAGGCTTGGTTGGTTCGCGGTGTGCATTTTAGAGCTTCCAATCCGCAGTCGTACAATAACTACTGCCATCCTTGGTCTTGTCATCAGTTTTGTTGTCCTCTTTTTTTTGGTCATTTGAGCAGTTACACATTCGGTCTTATCATTTACTGTCCGAAGAGTAGACATAATCATGGCATTGTCAGCGAGGCGTACAAATAAGGTATTCTTTTCCATCATTGTTCGTATTGGTATGGGTCGGCGGCCGTGTTCTCTGGTTTCGGTCTTTCCCTACTTGTTTTAAGACAAGGTCAAGGGGTTGGTCCGTACATAGAGAAAGATGCTCACACGGAACTAATCATGGTAAATACTTGTTCGTATGATGTCAGACTTCGTGGTCAGCTGTTTCCTTGAAAGAAGTGGATTAGTATGAGTCTTAACATTTAGACAGGACTATTCGAGACATTGTTCCCCTTGATTACAGAACTAAAGTTCGTTGGTGATAGAGAAAATCATGATACTACTTACTAAAATAAGTGTTCCAATAGGTCCGCGCAATTCTGCCGGCGTCTCATTTTTGCCTCAAGGTAAGTATGTTATGATCAGTAGGAGCCCGGGGAGAAAGCGGGGAAGTAAAAGGAGGATGGGAAAAAAGATACCTCTTCCATGGGCGAAAAATCTGCGGTGTACATTCCCTTGTAAGCCTGTTCATTATTGCATACCTAATATTTACTAGGTTGGGAAGTTTCCCTTACCCATGACTATATGCTTCAGGTAGAACGAAGCAATATTCGCAGTAGCCATCACTGTACGTCGCATGTAACCCCATAACTCGCAGCTTGTTCTTCGATTTTTTTTTCACACAGTACTCTGCAGCACGGTAGTCATAATTTAATAGTCCCAGCTTGTTAATGTCACCTGTTCACAATTGTATATTGGAATTTTAGCATTGTGCTTGGTCAGGTGATGGATCACGTGAGACTCAAATTATCGCGATGCCGACACGCTCAGAAGCCCATTGCAACGAAACAGTATTGTACGACCCTTGAATATCTAGTGGTAATTCACCAACCCGACGTCACAATGCAGCCCCAATATCGCAACTACGCGCAGCAAGTCCCCCAACGCTCTCCTCACGCTGCAAATCAGCGTCGGGGAGGGATAGGTAAGAGCGCGCACTTCCGACCCTTGCCGCACAAAATGCGAACGACTAACCTCTGTTAGGGCCAATGATGTCGTCTGGTCCCCATCCCTCTGTGCCATTAACGCAAGCCCAGATCGCCCAGCAACAGCAAGTGCAAGCTCATGCCCATGAGCTTGCGAGACGCCGGAGCCGCAAGCCCACCGATAAGAACATTCCCGAGGGAGTTGAAGACAGCATCGTCGACCAAGAAGCAGTTCAGAGATATAAAGCACTGAGAGATGTTGAAAGAACTCTAGACGCTACTATAACTCGCAAACGGCTTGATGTCTCCGAGGCATGTAGCCGAAATAACAACAAGGTCTGTAATAGAAAACCCTTTCTTCAAAAGGCTGATTCCATACCTTGTGTCCGCCCACCTCTTGCTAACAGGACTTTCAGCTCTTCAAAACGCTTCGAATTTGGATTAGCAATACGGTTGAAGATCAATCTTGGCAGGGCGTTGGTTTAAATGCTGACACTTTTGATTTCACATCCAATATGGAAGCATCATTTCGCGTCAAGATTGAAGGTCGTTTGCTAGATGATGACGAACACGCAAATTGGCAACCAGGCGTCGGCGCTGGAAAGACGACATCAAATGCTTTATCATATAAGAGAGAGATGGCAGATAAATCTCAGGAGAATCAAACTAGCTCCACCGCTTCCACAACTTATGCGACCTATCGGTTCTCTCATTTCTTTAAGTCACTATCTGTTGACTTCGATTCCTCTCGCTTTCGGAACGGGGGAGGAGGGCAGAATGTTGAATGGAAAAAGCCAGAATCTACATCAAAAACTCAATCTGGGAGTAACACAGCCTCCGCCTCTGACTTCGATGAGCTTACGTTCAAGAGAAACGGTGATGAAAACGTGAACATCATGATTAACTTATACCGGCATGAGTCTCCTGAACGGTATCAACTAAGCCCCGAATTAGCTGAGGTGGTTGACATGTCTGAGGCGACACAACAAGAGGCAGTCGCAGCCTTATGGGAGTATATCAGATTTTGGAACCTTCAAGAGGATGAAGAAAAAAGGAATTTCCGTTGCGATGAACTCTTAAAAAAGGTGAGGCTATTAGCCTATTATATTCGATTGCTATTTATTAATCTTTATGTCGATAGGTTGTCGGACGAGGTGATATCGGCTACATCCCAATGTTGAATGAGTACGTGACTCAGCATCTTCGGCCGCTACCACCAGTCAGTTTACCATATACGATTCGCGTTGATGAGGACTTCCATAAAGATCCATATGCTACAGTCTACGATGTACAAGTCCTTGTCGACGATCCTTTACGCAATACACTACAGCCTCTGATTAATAATTCACAATATGCATCGATGTTGAAGGATGTCACAGTGCTTGATGATCAACTGGCTCGTTTGATACAAGCCATCGCAGTCTCAAAAGCCAAGCATTCGTTCTTTTCATCCCTGAGCGAGGACCCCGCAACCTTTGTCAAGAGTTGGCTAAGTTCCCAAAGACGGGACCTGGAGGTAATTCTCGGCGACGCTACCAAAGGCGGAGGTGATGCTCTGGCGGCTGATGAATGGAGGCGTGGAGGTGGAAATAGCGTTTGGGCAACACAGAACGCGCGTGAAAGTGTTAATGTGTTGTTGTCCAGACAGCGATGAGGTGCAGCAGTGGCAAAGTTCTTCTTGATCCAGTTCATAGCATTATCTTATTAGTCCGGATCAGCTAGTTGGTATTATTGGCGTTTCAAGCTCAGTGGGGCGTTATAGGAGCGTTGAAACTCTTCAAGATCATTAATGTATGTACAGTATCAGATAAATAATAGTTTCATGGTGGTTGCATTCCCTCATGAATTCGCCTGTAATGTCTCGGTACTAGATGATGAAGGGCCACGGCAAAGCCAATTACGGCCTTGCCCCCACAAACCCGCATTTGCAGGCTTGAAACTTCCCTAGCGGCAGCTCAAACCGAAATAGCCCTCCCGTGGTTGGGCAGGTCATATTGTGCGAAATTGTCAACGGTCAGATTCCCACCACCTCTGCCAACGTTTGCCACGTCATCTTTGTATGGGGACTGGGTAGAGGGGCATGTTTCGTATCTGCTTAATCAGGAACTCCCGTTCATCGATGAATTGCTCGTCGTCAGTCCGGTCTTCGAGGAAGTGTGATAGAAATGCTAAGAGCTTTTCGCGATTCATGATGAGGATTTTTTGCACAGCGGTAGATTTGTGTGGATTAGCAACGAATACCTTGAATACATGAAAACCCTCATACTGGACCATTTTCCGATCGTCGCGGAGTAGATTCATGCATATTTTGAGGTGGTCTCCCTGATCGACATACGCTGTCATGACGCTGTAGTTGGAACGATCCAGTAAAATCTCTCCCAGAAGTTTGATGGACTGACGCTTGGTGACATAGCTGCTGGATTGCACCAAAGTACCGTTGTATTTCTCGAAAAACATGTCGAAATTTACCGAAAGATATCGCGGAACGAGGTCCTTGTGCCTGGTCAATAGTTCCTATGAAATCTGTCAATCACATGTTCTGTCGAGAGGTGGCCGGTCAACGCATATGGATGTATACTGTACAGTTCGTACCCTGAATGTGGTAAATGCATCTGCTGCTACCTCAAATGAACTCTTGTCTATCCAATCGAAAAACCTCCAGAACACTCCCCTTCCACTTTGCGGTCGGTCGCGATCAATGGCATTCAAACCCTTGGCACTGGAGCCAGGTTCATCTCCGTCGTCATAGAGGATGACAGCCGCCGCAGCCTCGTTCTTCAGTAATTCTCGTAGGACTGCTCCAGCTGGAGTTGCACTCTCTTTGTGACCATAGGCTCGGCATAGTTCAACAAGAACCTGTGGCCGGTTACATACGACATACGACAAGGCAATGGGGTCGCTTTTCGGGGCTGCAGATGCTGGTCGAAACCTAAACACATAGGAAAATATAACTTGGGTATCCTTTCGAGATTCAAAGGGCAGACGATAAAGATTAATCGCAAGGAGGTACAGTAAATCTTCGTCGATGAGACCGGTTACAAGTTGATAAATCTGTTCTGGTGAACTGTCCGTTTCTATTCAAGAAGTCAGCCGTTACATATCAATTTTTGGGGTGTTCTCGTTAAGCATACTCCAGGGCAAAACTAAACGCACATACCTTGTGTTCCTTGTAGAACAGTTTTCATTTGGTTTAAAACCCGCGATAGCTCTTCGGCCTTGGATATTCGATAAGCCTTCGAGGGAATTGTCTGCCAGTGAGATGGCAAAAACAAGTGTCTGAAGAACATACCTTGGCTGCAGAGTTTGGGCCCTCAAGCCGTAGCACATGCTCTCTGGCCTGTCTAGGCAGGTCGGCCGCGGCGCGAGATCGTGCCCTACCGAACAGGAATGACATCGTCGTCGTTAATGTCGTACTCAGTTGGGAATCAGTATCTCGTACTTATTCAGATTAACGACATCAATACTTCCGCCGTCTACTGCTGTCAGTTGTTTGGCGAACAAGGAATTGCTCATGTCCCTTTGTGCTGTGTTATACAATGGATGAATGAACGCCTGCCAAAGTGAAGTATCTGGCACAACAATGTTCTAATGTCAACAGCCACCACGCGTTGGGTCGACGCGCCGGAAGTCCTCATATCTGCCTGACTGTAACTACAAGGTACCTAGGGTTGCCCCCACTCCACGTACCTAGGTACCTACCACCTACGGGGTACCTACCTTAGGGAGGTAGGTAACTATTATAAGACAGGTCTTAAATTATCACTATTTACTAAAGGTTTAATATATGAAGTAAAAAAATTTAATTAATTATCTTATTATGGCTGATAGCCAGAGGACAGGCACCAGAAAACCCCTTAGCGCGCTAAGGTAGGTACTTTAGGTAAGCACCCCTCCTCCCCCGCTATGACTCTACCAATTGACCCCACCTTGACTCACGGCGCACCGACTCCGTTTTGAGCGGCCACACGCACCAAGAAAAATCATCGTCTTGACCTCACCAAGCCCATTTCATGAGCTCTTGGATTCCAAACATCGGAAACTGGGGAATTGGCGGGCTATAAGAGGTGAAGGTGTTGCACATCCCAGCTCTTTTTTGAAATCCCCCTTAGCATTATTCATTTGCGATATCGACGCCATGTCTATAGATTTTCCGAAGGAGGAGGTAGCCACAATTGAGCGATGGCGCGCCATTAACGCATTCCACCGCCAGGTACGAGAAGAAATTTCTTTATTTGCCTCCATATTTTTTCACGAAATATACTAATTCTGCTTGTTGATAGCTCGAATTGTCCAGCGGTCGCCCGCATTATACGTTTTACGATGGTCCGCCCTTCGCAACTGGATTACCTCACTATGGACATTTATTGGCATCGACAATCAAAGACATCATTCCAAGATACTGGTCTATGAAAGGCTATCATGTCGAGCGTAGATTTGGCTGGGATACCCACGGACTGCCAATCGAACACGAAATCGACAAAAAACTAGGCATATCCGGAAAGGCAGCCGTTACCAAGTTCGGAATCGAAAAGTACAACGAGGAGTGCCGTGCCATCGTCATGCGCTACGCTTCGGAATGGCGACTAACAATCGAACGATTGGGACGGTGGATAGATTTTGACAATGACTACAAGGTGAGAAACACAAACTGGTTCAGCGACGTGGCGCATGCTAACCCTTGCCACAAGACAATGGACCCGAAGTTCATGGAGTCACTGTGGTGGGTTTTCAAGCAGTTGTTCGAGAAAGGGCAGGTGTACCAAGGCCACCGGGTCATGCCCTATTCTACCGTCCTCACAACTGCGCTAAGCAACTTCGAAGCAAACCAGAATTACCAAGATGTGACCGACCCTGCAGTAGTAGTGTCTTTCCCCTTGGTTGAGGATCCCAATGTTCACCTGTTGGCCTGGACGACGACTCCCTGGACACTGCCTTCTCACACCGGTCTTGCTGTGCACCCCGACTTCGAATATCTTAAGATACATGACGAGAAATCCGGAAAAGTCTTTGTGATACTGGAACAGCTCTTGTCAACTTTATATAAAGACCCTAAGAAGGCCAAGTATTCCGTGGTAGGTAAAGTGAAGGGTAAAGACATGCTGGGATGGCAATACGAACCACTCTTTAATTACTTCTATGAAGACTTCAAGGACTGTGGATTCCGTGTTGTCAATGGAACCTATGTCACAGCAGACAGTGGTACTGGAATTGTACATCAAGCGCCCGCCTTTGGTGAGGAGGATTATAATATTGCCGTTGCCGCTGGAGTCATCAGTGAAAAACGGCCGCCGCCGGATCCGCTTGACGATACTGGCCACTTTACTGAAAAAGTTCCAGACTTTGCTGGCATGCATGTCAAAAAAGCGGACAAGCACATCATCAAGCACTTGAAAGCTACCGACCGCTTGGTTGTCGAGTCACAATTGCGACATTCATATCCGATGTGCCCTAGGTCGGACACTCCCCTTATTTACCGCGCAGTGCCTTCCTGGTTCATCAGAATTCCTGAAGTCATCCCCGATATGCTAAAAAATATAGAAGGTTCCCACTGGGTCCCTTCCTTCGTTAAAGAGCGTCGATTTGCTAGCTGGATAGCCAATGCTAGGGATTGGAATGTTGGGAGAAACCGATATTGGGGCACCCCTATTCCTCTTTGGGTCAGTGATGACCTGGAAGAAAGGGTCTGTATTGGGAGCATAGAAGAGCTCCGCGAACTTAGCGGCTACCAAGGCGAATTAACAGACCTGCATAGGGATAAGGTTGATCACATCACCATCCCAAGCAAAATGGGCAAAGGCACACTGAGACGAGTCGATGAAGTCTTCGACTGTTGGTTTGAATCAGGTAGTATGCCGTATGCTAGCCAGCATTATCCGTTCGAGAACGCCGAAAAATTCCAAAAGTCCTTCCCCGGAGACTTTATTGCTGAAGGGCTCGATCAAACAAGAGGATGGTTCTACACTCTGCTCGTACTTGGGACACACCTGTTCGGCTGTTCGCCTTTTCAGAATTGTGTCGTGAATGGAATTGTACTTGCGGAAGATGGAAAGAAGATGTCAAAAAGACTTAAAAACTATCCGGACCCGTCCATCGTGATGGACAAGTATGGATCAGATGCTCTCCGACTTTATCTTATTAACTCACCAGTCGTTCGAGCCGAACCACTTCGTTTTAAAGAGTCCGGAGTTAAGGAAGTAGTGCAGAAGGTTTTACTCCCTCTTTGGAACAGTTTCAAGTTTTTTGAAGGACAAATCGCTCTGCTAAAAAAGGCAGAAGGAGTGGACTATATGTGGAACCCAGATATGGAATCTGAAAATGAAAATGTGATGGATCGCTGGATTCTGGCGAGTTGTCAAAGCCTACTAGAGTTTGTTAATGAGGAAATGCGAGGTATGAGCCCCCAACCCATATTTTAAAGGAGTTTGTAAACCTAACACAAAGGCAGGATATCGACTATATACTGTTGTACCACGTCTGCTTGAACTCATTGATAACACTACTAATTGGTATATCCGGTTCAACCGCCGTCGCCTCAAGGGTGAAAATGGTCTGCAAGATACACAACATGCATTAAATGCACTGTTCGAGGTGCTATACACCCTTTGTCGAGGATTGGCCCCATTTACGCCGTTCCTGTCAGATACCATTTATCTG